TTTAAAGAATCTTCCTAAGAAAGTATTTAAATAGAATAAGCCCTCTAAGTAATATGTCTTTGTTTCCTGTGTAGCGGTTATTGTTGTCTTTTTTTATGGTTTTTGTTTTTGTGAGTATGTGACCGTGTGGGGGGTAAAGTAATTCAAAGTAAAGTGAGGCAAAGTGAAACAACAAAACTTGATTTGACTGTATGACTTCATTAACGGAACACGCAGCCAACAAAGCGAATTTACATCCACACGATCGTCACAATAAAAAAACTACAAAATTATATAAAAAAAAATAAGGGAAATGTTGCGCAAGACTATAATTATTATTAATATATTTTCAAAGCACTTAGTTTTCATCGCAAAGCAAAATTGCACATTTAGGAGTAATCTGTCAAAAACAACAAAACTTTAAACCTTTAAATAGATTTTATTTGTTTATTTGCCTTCTGCAAGAAAGTGTTGATTTTTAACCTAATCAAACACATATCCTTATGTTATATGTATGTACATATAATTCATTCTTTTTCTTTCTATTTTAAGGTAGGCGTCATTTTTATTCAATTAAATTTTTTTGGTTTATTGATTCAATTAGGTTCAACTTTTAGCAATGCGTTTAATTAAAGACAAGCCCCAAGATAAAACTGAAGGCCATCTTTGTCCCACGCACAGTGCGTGGACTCCGGGGGCTATCAGGGGTTAATGGTGGGGGTTTGTTGAACTCTCCGCCACAACAACAACAACAACAACAGAAACAGCAACAAAAAAAAACGAAAACTACGGTTTTTTCCCCTGTTTCTTTTTGTTTTTGCACTGTACACGGCCGGAAAACGGAAGCGCCTGTTTCGGTATTGTTTATTATTGTCTGCATTTATGTATGCTGCGCTGCCCATTGTGAGAATTATGAGTGTGCGTTTATGGTTATGGGCTAGGAACCATAGGGAATGCCGCCAAGCGAATGATATAGTGAACGGCATGGGGAAAATCGAAGAGAGTGGAGCTGGTGACTAGAAAACTCAAAGTGGCGAAATGGAACGACACATGGTGACATTGCAATGGGAACAACGATGTCGTTGCCAAAGGTGTCGCCTCCAACTATTGCCACATGTCGCACATAGAATACACTTGGAGAAATTATCTTTGCAAACAATGAAGAGAATCTATAAAGACGACAAAAAACATTACCTTCTTTCACATTTTCTCAATAATTTGTATAAAATCGTATGTGAACTTCAAATTGAAAAAACAGAGTTACCTGAATGCAGTTTCTTTCAGTGCACTGGGGAATATTCATCACTCACACACACACACACACCGATATGGACGCACCATTAAAGATCAGCGACGGTGACAAAGTGCGTCCGGTTTTCAAAAAGTGTCGGATGCAAATGTGCAAAGCGACGAGGAGTGGGTGGAGTGGGGAAATAAAGCAAGGAAGAGGAGGAGAGAAGGAGAACCCAAAGAGAGATTGAGGGGAAAGTCATCGAATTGTAGGGAAAACAATATTGGCAATGCAAGTTTGGCAGGGAGGAAAATTGAAATTAAAACATGTGCAGCGGTGGAAAATGCTTCTGCCTCAACTTCCACTTTTTCCACTCTTTTTCCAACCAGCTGCAACACCATCAAGTGTGAAATGGAAAAACACATAAAAAAAAGGCAGGGAAAAGTAGATGGGGGAAAAGAACAAAACATATGCTGGCGGCCCGTGGAAAAGCGGCACAGTGGGTCACAAAGTGTTAAATCATTAAAGTACGAAAAAATATTTAAACGAGACGGAAGCTCGTTAAATTTCCCATTTGAAAATTTCCAAAATTAAATTTAATTGAATGGGAACGAGAAAGCAATTAAAATATTCGAATTTGGGTTACCCCTTTCAACCCAAAAAAAAAAAAAGATTCCAACTAAATAATTATAATTCTTGATTACCTAAAGCCAAAATCAACGAAAACACAAAAGCGCATTCCTCGTTTTTCCATGGCTTGCTGAAATTTGAAGAAGCTCCTTCAATTTTGGACTTTCGTACTTTCGAGAACAAGATCTTCAAAGGCGATTCTAGAGAATTCCAATGGCTGTTTTTGCATAACAAGCGCTATTGTTCTCCTTTTTGTTTTCTTTTTTTGCTAGTGAAATTTGATGAGGGAGGAGCACTGGGAGATGGGATCCCAAATACGATTCTTCCCCAGAACGTCGTCATCCGTCTTGCACTTGACGCGAGGCCATTTAATGCCCGGCGAGAAAATAAACTTCTCCGGAATGCCACCCACCGAGGATGCAAAATGAACGGGGCGGCGGCGAATGTGAAACCTCCCTGGCAAATATGTAAGAGAGCTCGCAAAAAATCCGATTCCATGGTATTCATTTTGCTTGGTCGGCAAACTTCTGGACGGCAGTGTGGCTGCCCACAGATGTTTGCTTTTTTGTTGACACACAAACTGCAAGCCAAGACCAGAGTTTTATGCTTCAATTTCATTCCTTGCCAATGTTGTGTTGATATTTAAACGAGCTGTCTGCAGATGGGGGAATTGACAAACGGAACGTTCGTTTTTATGGTTTCGAAATATTAATAAAGATTTTACAAGCAAACACCACACCTTATGGTTTAGTGTTTAAAAATGTAGAACATTGATTTCAAATTCAATGAATTTGTTTTTGAAATCAAATTAGAAAACATCCAATTTTTATTTTCTGTGGAGTGGCGCCCAAGTCTCCATGGAATAATTAATTAAATACACTTAAACGTGGGATGTGAGTCTGCAACTGGAACAGAGCTCATTTCTTGAAGCAAACAGTTAAAGCAAACAAAAAACCCGGCAAAAAAAAAAAACCAATTGTTAGGTGAGCCGGCTAAGGCAACAAATTAATATAAGGCCATGACAACAATTGAGCGACGGAAGACCAACAAATTCAAGTCAATAATACCCAGCCCACCTAACGCAATAATTTAGCAAACAAAAAAACAACAAAATGGTTAAAAAGCATAAAAAAGACAGAAAAAATCCATTCCTTGAAATCGAACCGAAAATGCTCTAAAACTGATTGGAAAACACAGATATCAATCAATACCTTTTAATGTTTTCTTAATTGCGGGTCTTTATTTAATAGCAGTAAAAAAACAATAAATTACAATTTCAGCGTCGAATTGACTGCATCAAAAACTGTGCACTAATTTGCATGCAAATTAAGTACCACATCTTATGTATTTAAATAATTAAATTAAACATTTTACAAGCCTTTAACTAATGGTTACAAAATAACATCCATAGACGCTTTAAAGGAGCTGTTGCACATAAATTAAGATGTTTTTGTTTTAAGTCTTTGAATGCATACAATTAAGCGTAGTAAACAGAGGGTTACAAATATTTTATTCTTTTGAGCAAATAACAATTTTTTTTATATGTTATGTAAGTGAATCCCTCGTTCCCGAGATCGTGTATAAACGACAATATGTATTCATAACCTGAGTCAAACGTTGATTTTCGTGTTGAACTTCGCTTCGCTTTGCTTTATTTTTTACTTTCCGCCTTCCTTTGTTGTTTGCCCTTTTTTTTCTGATCACAGACACGTTCCACTCGCGTTTGAAATTTTCAGCCCAAAAAAAAAATGTATAAAAAACTGCTGGTAATATAAGCCCCGAACAAGTTCTCGGGTAAATAATTAAATATGTATCTTGGCTCTTTATATTCGCTGGTTATTTGTGTATTTAGCCGGGCTATTCATCTACTGGCCTTGCCATTCCCAGTGATGCCAATTTGAGCAATTTACATAATTCCAGTCGCTGAGAATGGGCTTTGTGGCCCAATAGTAACTATGTACTTTTAGACGTCATACCAGATGGAGGAAACTCGCAAGTATTATGCAGTAATTACCATCTGCTTTCTACTGCTGAGCCTCTTATTTTCTTTTTAATTTTCAATTAAATTTAGCTGCGCTTTAGTTTACGTAAATATGAATGCGATCTTTGCAAGAAAACATATTAAAAATACTTATAGAAAATAGAGAATTTCTTGATGGGTTTGTAAAAATAAGGATATAAAATGTTAAGGCAAATTTTAAAAGTATAGTAAAGATACCAATTGGCATTGAGTGAGCTGTCCAATTGGGATCCCTGCATATCGAGTGCATCCAGTTGGAGGTTAAAGCCAGTTCGGAGTTCATTGTTGTTGCATCGCAGTGGCGGCCACGCCCCAAAAGGAAAAGGCAAAAGAAACGCGCAACTGAACTTTCGCAACTCCCCAGTTTAACCCCCCTCAAGCCGCCGCTTAACCCTCGTCAGCCACTGCCACTACAACTGACCCACTCACTCGAGAATCCCTCTCTTTTCCGCCTGTCTGAGCTGCTTTTTATGGAAACCGGCTAAATTCCATTTGATTTGGAAGTCGGGCCAAGAGCCAAAGCCTCGTCTTCTTGTCATCATTTCTTTCGCCTTGCCTTTTCTTTCTTTCTCTGCACGCGGAAAAAATATTCCCACATATTGCCAGGCCAAAAATGCATTGCTGATCCATTAACATATTGCCATTTTGGGGCCTTTCGCTGGCATGATCTGAGCAGGTATTTTTTTATATTTATGAAGCAGGTATTTTTTTATATTTATGAATGAATGTTTGCTTAAGCACATGGTATATGGCTAATAACTTAAACCGCATTTTTTGATAGTTCAAATTTAGATTTTTGTTGAAAGTCCATTTTCATTGTGGGCAAATGAATTAGCCATCCTAATAATCTTATCTTCCCTTTTTATATTGTTTTAATATGTTTATCTTAACTTCTTGATTCTATATCAAAACCTCACTTTAGATATCAAATAAATAAAATAAAATATTAGAATATGCAATCTTCAGTTTCCATTTTTTATACAAACTATGACATAAACAAGGATTTTTGTTCTGTGTACCGCATTTCACTTAACTGTCAAGGGCGTTGGACTTTATTTTTTTTTATTTTTAATTGACATATTTTAGGGTTGTCACAGTAAAAATTACATATTTTTAAGCCTTTTATTTTAATAAACTTACCTTACAATCTGGCGTAAACTTTATTATTGAACTCCTTTTAGTGCTTACAATTTTTGTCAAATTTGCATCCAGCAATGGATAAAACAACAAAAAAAAGCCGCGCAAACAAACAAACAACCGCACACACACACACACGCACACATGTGCGTAAAACGAGTTTTATTTGCTGCACACAACAACAACAACGGCGATGAGAAGGAAACCGCAATCAACCAAGGATAAAATGCGATTTGCAATTAAATTCCGACGTTCCGCCCGCATCCTCCGGTCTTTTTTCCCAGTGTAAATAGAAGGCACTCCGTTAAAAAAAATCAAAAACAGAGCACGGAGCGCGAAGCGTTGGGCGCAAAAAGGTAAATAAACGCACGAAACGCCGTTCAGCAACAGACAAAAAACTGGGGATGACAATGTTGACGATGCATCGCGCTTTAAATTTTTGTAAGTATCGATGTCCAATGGCGACTATCGATTTCAAGAATCGATAGTCTAGCTGATACAACCTCACCTAGCGAATGCAGCCACCTTACTTAGTTAAGACATACTCCGCGCTTCGTGGAACGCAAAGGGCGGGACTTTCGAATTTTAAAGATCATACTAAATGTTGTCTTTTTACAGATATACTGTTTTTTTTTTTTAAATAATGTATTTACAAGAGTCATTAAAAAAAATAAAAACTTCCAGTACGAAATAAAAAGAGAAAATGCTTTAACATGACAATCACATTTAATTTAGAATTAATGCAAGGAAAAATGAATTAGTGCTAAGCACAAATGTCAATGTTTTTATATGAAAAAATATTGTGCTATCGTTAAATGCGTAATGATTTTAAAAAAGACCAGATACTACCAACACTGACCAGTGTAAATAAACGACAATGGCCGTTTGCTCAACTTCAAAAAGATAACGTTTTCACATCCCTAAGAAGTACTGATAAAAAGTTTATTTTTATTTTTCGTTTACTTTTAACGGTGAAAGAAAAAATCATACAAATGCCGGTGAGTAATGTGTCTTAAAAATAAATAGAGAATTCAAAATATTTGTAAAAATTGCTGAGTAATTTGTTGCTAAATTATTGCTTACTTTCAATTCTCTTCTTCGACATGGAATGGAAAGGCCTTTCACTCGGAGATTGAGGAATTCCAAGGATCAGTGGGCAATATGGCCATTTTGCCATTGCGTACACAAATCCGGGGACCAGCACCCAACGTTGATATTCCCAACGATATCATCGATGAGTCACTGTACTACTGGAAGGCAAACATTTTCTTCCGTACATACGAAGTTAAGGTTGGTAAACGAAACAAATGAAAGGGTTGAAAATTAAATAAAAAACTGATTTTAAAGTGTTGTTATTCATAATGTATTTCCCTTTTTAAAACTGTTTTCGAATATTAAACCTATGACTCAGATATATTTTTTAAAACATCTTATTAGTGGTTGACCTATGAAATATTTTGTTTTGTTTCTTTGTTTGCTATGCTATTTTCTGTCGCCCAACTAACCCCTATACCATATCTAATCACAGTCGGAAGTGGACCGGGTGCTTATCTATATAACGCTGTACATAACCGAGTGTTTGAAGCGTTTGGCCCGCTGCACAAGCAAAGCACAGGGCCAGCAGGAGCTATATAGCCTGGCCATCTCGCGGTTCGATCTGCCCGGCGATCCGGGATTCCCCCTGAACGGCATATACATCAAGCCCGAGGATCCGGAGGTGATGCGCCAGTACTTCCTGCAGCTGCGCCACGAAACCGGAACGCGACTGCTGGAAAAGGTCTTCGATACACCGGACGACAAGCCCAGCAAGTGGTGGATCTGCTTCGCCAAGAAGAAGTTCATGGAGAAAAGTCTTTCCGGACCGGGAATGTAAATCTATCCTTCTTTCGACTGCCTAAATTTTAGACCTTTAGACTTTTTTATACTGCCCATTGTGAATTTACCAATGCAAAATTTTAACAAATAAACACGCCAAATTAATGAAACTTACACCAACCATTGATTATTCATAAATTGAGTTAGGCGTTACAGAAACATTTATTTAAATACACTTTATAATAGCATTTTGATAACATTTTCGCGAAAACTATCAACAATAAGTTCTAAGGGACACTAAAACTAAAACTAACGTAATTGTATTTTCATAGTTTTTGACAAAAGTATACAGTGGATTTGTAGTTTATGAATCCGTATATTCACATTTTAGGCAAACTTAATGGCTAGTACGTTAGGTAAGTCTCACTATATTCATAAAAGCGGTAATAAAAAATTGCATTATTTGTACATACTGATTTCAAGCGAAGGCTGAGAAATAATCAAAGCCAGAATGGTTATCATTTATTAAAATCGTTTTTTGTTGCAGATCAATTGTTTGTTTTTGGAATGCCAATAATCGTGTTTATACTTACAAACAAATGCACAACTTAAGACTATCAACAAAAAAAAAAAATCGCAAAAAATAGACTGTATAATAATATAGCTTACAATAGAGCAGTAGAGCAACACACGCATTCACATACAGTTTTAACAGGAATGACAGCATTATTTACAAACAAAAAAATACGTTGCTAGGCGATATATAAGTCTATTTGAACTCCTTAACAATTTCCACGATGCTCTGATAGGTGCCAGTGACGATCCCCAGCACGGCCACCGACAGGATGAGGATGTTTTTGATGTACGACCACGCCCCCAGGCCCTTTGGCACCTGCGCCCTCGTCACAAAATCAATCAGCACCGGAATCACGAAGGCCAAACAGGTGGAGCACAGTGCGCCGATCAGCGAGATGAACAGATTCAGCTTGGGAACGACCAGCGCAACGCCAACTGAAAGACCATTTCAAATTTTAACATTTCAAAATGCCAGCAATGTCATCTTATAAAAAAGTTATACAAAGAGGGAACTTTGGCAACTTCTTCTTAGTTGGAATACAAAATTATATTTTTGCTTACATGTCATCATCACCATGATAAAACGCAGGCACACCTGCATGGTTATAGGATACTTTTGGGCGCAGTCGTTGGAGCGCTTCAGTGGCGGCCAGAGGATCTTTATCATCACAAAAAACTGGATGGGATAGCCTAGAAAAACTCCCACGGCTGCAATCACTTTCACCACCTGCGAAAATCTGGAAAAATATATAAAAAAAGTTGTTTATTAGCAACTAAGAATCTGTAAAAAAACGATTACATTTCTTGAAATCTTTTTCAATTTGGAAAAACTCGGTATGCAATATTTTTATAAAAAAGAAATCTATCCTCATTGAAATAAAATGATTTTTGGCTGTTTTATCGAGATTTTACTTTTACGGTTTCACTACTTACACTTCTTCGACCACCAGATTGAGTGTTATGCTCCCGGCGACTTCCTCGCCCCACCGCATGTAGCCAACGACGCCGGTGAAGATGAACAGGCAGGTGGTGAGGAACATGGTGGAGTTGAGCACTCCGAACCGGGTGCTAAAGTTCTCCGGGCGGCGCATGGAGTTCCTCAGCGGAAGGATGAGGGCGATGCCCTCGTAGGAGAACAGAGCGGTGCCGAAGAAGAGGGCCAATTGGGAGCCGCCCGTGAAGAGGTGCCTCTCCCCGATGGATGGCATCGGTCCGTCCGAGAAGGCGATGGTCAAAGTGGCGATCAGGCCGAAAAGTAGAGCCACATTGGCGAGCAGGGACACCGGCGAGATGTACTTCAGGTTGGTCATGAGCGAGGGAATCATCGCCGGCAGCAGGGTGATCAGCATCGTCATGCTCTCGCTAATATCAATGCCATTCTGCTGCAGGACCTGCAAACATTATAATGGATATTACAATAGAACCATAGGATTAGAAAGTGAAATTAAAAACTATGTATGGTAAGTGCATTTCACCTGATGAAGGTTGTCCGTGATGAAAACGAAGTAGATGGCACAGAATCCGAACTGCGTCACGCAGAGGAACATCTCGACGACGAGCTTCATGAACCGCGACATTTTCCGCAGTGGGCGTGGTCCGTGCTCAAAACTCTTCTCCACGGTTTCCGGATAGTCGAGGAAGTCGACGCCCGGCGTCCGTTCCACGGCGAGAATGGAACCCCGAATGAGCATCCGTTCGCAGTGGACGCACATCACGGCGATGATGGGCAGGAGTATGGTGGCGCCGAGGAGTCCGCCGTTTTTGAAGCAATCGCCCATGGCGAAGAGTCCTGCGCCGACGCTTCCCTTGAACAGGTGGATGGCCGCCTCCAGTTCGCTGGTTTCGTGGCCACGCCTGCGCACCGGATCACCGTTCTCGGGATCGCCCGATCCTCCCTTCTCCGCATTCTTCTCCGGCTTCCGGCTATTCGAATTCGAATTCTTCTCGAGGTGCGTCTCCAGGTTCTTGCCCCCGGTTATTTCCAGTGTCCTTCCCATTCCGCCGGCTGCTTCGATCTCCTTTTGATCGCTGCGCGTTTGCTGCTGTGGGTTAAATGCAAAATTTGTAAGATCACTCCCTCAAATTACTTAACGGTACTTAAGTATAAATAAGGAAGGAAAGACAGGAGAATAACAAAGAACCGTTAGCACTCTCTTTATTTATCTCTCACTTATGACGCCCAACCAAGTGGCTTAACCCCAGAAAGCATGTATAATAATTTAATATGTAAAACATTTGAAATTGTTTTTTCAGTCAATATAAGTTTCATTTAATTAAAGATTAAACAAGCATAGTTATTTATTTATCTTAGCCGTATGCCATCAATAAAATAAGTAGAAGCATACGTTTTCATTCATAATACACATGATAATGGACTGGCCATTGGCAACATGTTAATTAAGCAGAATAATGCTCAGAATGCCAATTAAATACATACATTCAACTCATTATAATTCAAATCGCGTTTAGACTACTTCGTATCAATGTCAAAACTCATAAAAAGCCGGAGGCTGATGTTGAATCTAAATGTTAACGTTTCCTTAAAATCGTAAATTATTCAATTATTAAAAGTCAATCAGAAAGATTTAAAAAACAGTATTAAATATTACGAAAAAACGTAAAAAGCGTTAAAAGCATTACATACATAACCAAAAACAAGTTTCCCAATTGCAATTTACGAGATTTCAAACTAATTTGTATATCCAGTAATTGTTGTTGCACACACTCGAAATAAAAGCTAGTAATTCGCACTGCCGAGGGTAAGAAAACACTTTTATTAACCGGGAAGTTGGAAATAATCAACTTGTCAAGGCCACCACACTTAATTGTTAATTATTATTCACAATTCGCTCGGAGTGCGGGAGTTGTGCATATTGTTTTATGATTTATTATTATTTCGGCACTTTGGCTTTGCTCAGACTTTGCAGCATAAATTGATCCGATAATCTGATAGGCGATGCGTATTATATAAATATTCGCCAAACGATGATCACCTGTGGATGTGATATGGCTGTAAAGTAACGCTGGAGTACCACGAAAAACAGAACTGCTCGCGGCAAGAACTCAAACCAGACTCAATGCTCGAGTTGGCCAACAGAAGCGAATGGCAAATTTGCGAAAGGCAAAAGTCGGAAAGCGAAAAAGTAGAAAAAAAATAGAAAAATAAAATGCGGGTGTCTGTCTGTGTGAGCAATGCAAAAATGCGCATAACGTTAACCCCCCGGTAAACAAATATCCCTCTGGCAATTTTATTTAAGTTTTTTTTTTGTGATTTAAACGGTTTATGAGTTTCCGAATAAATTTGGCTTTTATTGGTTCACCTGCAAATTGATTTTTCTGCATTTCTTGTCGGTTTGTTGGGCTATAATATTTAAAATGCCTACGTATATCTAAACAATTTATTATCAGCAAGAAAATAATTACATTAAATCGCTTATTTGATGTAAGATCCGTGTTCAAGTAAGGGGTTAAGATGCGTGGGAGACTGCGAAATATATTCTAATGCGATTAGCCATAATAGTTTCGAAAGCTTCATCTGGCAGATCAATTGGCAGACTCAACCTGCTAGCAAATCACTTTCCCTCGAGAACTTGTCACTTTTAAGTGGAAAATTACACTGGAAATGCATGAACCAGAAAACCAAGGGAAAATAGCAGGCAGCCACTCATCGATAAACGATAAGATACATAAGTCGTCATAGATCAACAAATAATTTGTTTAGCTCTCTACTTATTTTTTTTTATAAATTATTAGAGTGTTAATTTTCTAATTATAACGAAAAAAAAAATATTTTAAATGGTGTACTCAAAACAATTCGTAAGCCGAGCTCAACCGTAACAAAGAAAAAATCCCCTGGCAAAAATAAATGAATTCCAGAGAAGATATATCGTTAAGATCGAGATCAGATTAAGAGAATTTACAGAGTGACGTGAATGTTTGTATAAGTATGTTAATTATCGGAGGTAGTAAATGCGACAAAGTTTACTTGAACACTTTTAGATTACCTTTCTTAAAAACTAATTACACCGACAATCAAAGTTTAGTTTATTAGTGAATTATATGTAAATAAATACCCAATAATACCTGCACTAAATATATATTATGGTTGTCGTGCACTGTCTGTTTTTTATTTGCGAGTAACATTCCATACTTAAATAAAACGTGAGTGTTACACATTTATTTTACATTGTTTGATGCCACGTGATTCAACATGGTAATAGCTTATAATTACAAGGCGTGTTTAAAATAAATGAAACCGAAATGTAAGATAGAACCAAACTGATCTCAATCGAATCCATTGTAAAATTTGTTTAGGATCCCCATTTATTTATAGCCATTTGTGAGCTGTAAAAATGTTGTCATTCATCATTCAAAGTTAGTTAATTTATTTATTTGCCCGCTGTCAGAAATGCGAGTGAATTTCGAGAGTAAAAAGTTGGATCCGTAACGCTGATTGCGTCACGGCATTGGCTACTGATAAAAACTGAAAATAAAGAAAACAAATAATTAAAAAGGGCTGTGTCCGGTGGGTTTCCACCGGCAGGAAGTGGTTCGATCAGGTTCAAGGATCTGGCCGCGTTCCGGAATTTGGGATATCAACTCGATTTCAAACGGCACGTGCCCATTGCATCGAATTCTTGGGCGTAGTACCATGATATATCAGACATATGTAATATTTTCGTGAAGCGCATTGCATTCGTGATGGTTACACCTTTGCCTTAACCCCCGACTGCCCCCTGGGGCCAACGGAGACTCACGGAAATTTACCGCCTTCATTGAAGAAGCGCCAGTTAAATGAATTGCACGGAATCAAAGTTCTCCGGTCGGCTGCTGCTGCATCTCACTTCTTCCAATCAACCAAACGATCGATCGATCGATCGATCGGTCGATGTTTACGGAATTCAGCAATTGGATTATATAAGGGGCACTGAAACAACAAATGCATAACAAAAGGCAGGGGCGCTGTCATGGGTTAATGGCAGGGAAACTAGAGAAAAATTTAAAACCTGTTAGAAAAACATTTTTATTGTAAGATCTATTATACCAGAAAATTATTAAAAGAGATAAATAAATTGGATATGGAATAATTCGTAATTTTATTTTATTTCAGGATCGTATGTATAGCTTTTATATTTTTTTTTAACTACTCCATACATTTTGTTGACCCCTTTTTGTGCGCTCCTGACTTCCGTCATGCATATCCAACCACATTGCCTGCAGTTCCATTCATTGTTGAAGTTGAAGGTCGCTGCCAAACGGTTTCGATTAGATCGATTTGGTTCGGATCGGTTCGGATTAGATTAGTGTAATCCCCGTAGAGGGAGATATGATTCCCGTTATGGCTCTTAACCAGTTCCCTCTAGATGAAAGCGAAAGTCGCCAAACGATAACTATGAGAATACAATTTATGGATTCTTCGGAAACGGGGTCAATGTCAGAGCTCATTTGGAGTATTAACGCGAAATTATAATCGCCGCCAGCTTAATTCAATTTCAGAGAACCCGTTCCGCCACTCGATTAGTATTCGGCTCAAATGTTTTACTTCTACGCTTATTCGCACGTTTTTTGTACCGAATAAAAAGTAAATGATGTTTGACTCAGCAAAATAATTTTGACACGCTTTGCATCGAGTTGATTTTAATTATGTTTTCAATATTTCACATATTTTCTGCAGCATATCTTTCAGATGTTTTATCGTCATTCGAAATCCAATTGTTATTTGCAAGTACGTACTTGAAACCAAAAAACACATCTGTCAACTTCTTGTCATTTTGCGATGACGTCAAAACGAACGTCGCATCGTTTATTCTCACTTAATATCTATAAAAAAAAATAATCAATTATAATAAGTAAAATGCGCTGCACGCTCACTAAGACACAAAGAAAGTCACTTAGGTATAAACATGTTTTGGGTGTTTGTTTTGTTGATAATAAATTCGCAAACAAGTTATATAAATAACTAAGGATTAATAGATAGGTACATATTATATTGCTCCATAATGTTTTCGATTGCTATTTTTTGATTAATTTATTCCTGTGATGTTGCTGTGATTGCTGTTGTGATCCTGTTTTATTTATTTGGTATAACTGGTGATAGGATTTTCCATAATCTCTAGATAAAGCTTTGATGTTACTTTGAGGTTATGATACTAATGATCTTGTGCTATTCCTGTATAGATATTTTGTAATTATTTGTATCAAGATCATGATATCTTAATAGTAATCTGTTAATGTTCCATGAAATACTTTGATTTAGTACTGCAATATCCTCTGATAAGTTTGTAAATAATCTTGGTAGATCCTCTGCTATTTTAGTAATGATACTATGGTGATAATATTCTGTGATGGTCCATTCTGATCTATCCTCAGTGCAGTTCCTCCTCCCCAAAGTGCTTGATAATCTGCTTGAGACTCTCGTAGGAGCCGGTGAAGAATCCCAGCAGTGCCAGCACCAGGATGACGAGGTTCTTCACGCAAATCCACAATCCGGGTCCCTTATTCTGTTCGCTCCTGGCGATCAGTTCGATGACGGGCGGAAAGACGAGGGCCAAAGCCGTGGAGCATAGAGCTCCGATCAGCGAGATGAAAAGTCCCAACGCTGGCACCATTTCGGCGATGGCAACTGTGGGAGAACCGTTGAGTTTTTGTTTCCTGCATTCTGGCGATGGTCCCACGTGGCGGATACTTACGGGTCAGCAGCACCATGAATGTGCGGAAGCTTAGCTCGCCGAGCAGCGATCGTCCCTGGATGCCGCACATCTGCTTAGCACTTGGCCACATTATCTGGATGGCCACGAAGAATTGCAAGGGATAGCCGAGAAGAACGCCGGCGGAGACCATCAGTTTGACTGCCTGAGCCAAGCTGCAAAGTGGGGAAACGTATCCACAAAGAAACGTGTTCAGAAAAGAACGCCAAAGAAGCTCTTTTTAAGCAGTAACGGAAACCACTCACATGGTATCGCCCAGATTGAGGGTCAGACTGCCGCCGACCTGCTCGCCCCACTTCATATAGCCCACCGATCCGGCGAACATGAACATGACGGAGACGAGGAACATGCCCACATTGAGGACGCCCAGGGGTCGCTCAAACTGCTGCGGTTTGCGCATGGCGTTCTTCAGCGGCATCACCAACGCGATGCCCTCGAAGGCGAAGATGGCGGTGCCGAAGAAGAGGGCCAGCTGGGAGCCGTTCGTCCAGAGGGCGCGTTCCCCGACCTCCGGCAGTCCGTCCTTGAGGGCATAGTACAAGGTGATGGCCAGGCCGAGGATCATGCACAGGTTGGCGAACATCGAGACGGGCGTCAGCCACTTGAGGTTCGTGATCAGCGAACTGAGGAGCACGGGCACGAAGGCCAGCAGCATCACCAGGTGGACATTCATATCGATCTCGTAGGCTTGCAGGATCTTTAAGGATTACAATTTCATCCTTTCATCCTCTCACTCTCACCCTTGCAAAACGGCAAACTCACCTGCTTCAGATTCGTGCTGATGAACACAAAGTAGATGCAACAGAAGCCCAACTGGGTGACGCAAATGAAGATGTCCACCAGACGACCCATTGTGCGGGACCAGCCCCTCAGCTTGGGTGGACCCAATTCGAAGCACTGCTCCACCGTTTGGGCGTAGTCCGCGCACACGGCCTCCCCCTTGAGGTCCCGCATCTTCTTGGAGCAGGAGACCAGGACGTGCTGGCAGTGGATGGAGACCACCGCGATCACAATGGTCAGAATGGGGGCCACCAGCAGACCGCCGTTCTTGAACGCATCCCCCATGGCGAAGAGACCGGGTCCGATGTTCCCCTTGAACAGGTGTACAATGGTCTCCAAATAGCTTGAATTACAGGATCACAGATCATCTTGGGGGTGCGGAAGTTACTCAAGGATCAAGGATAAGGGGTTGTCCAGGGATTTAGTTGCTCCATGGGAATTAGCGTTTTGTTAGTTTAATGTTTGATTTCGCTTTGATGATTGCAGCTCAGAGGTTTTGTTAGCGTTATTTCCATTGATGCGGATTATAGCAGGATCAGAAGGGTTAGGGTTAATTTGAGGATTAAGGATCAGGGGTTGTCGACGGTCATAAAGTAACTCCATTGGTGAGAGATTTCAGCAGGATCGAATAGGTCAAATATTTTTATAGGGTTTTGGGGTGTTGAGGATTCCGAGCTTTTCGATGATGAGTTAAACTTGTAAATACTGCATATAGAGATTATAGTTGGTGACTTATAGATATTCCAAGCTTAAGGTTAGTATATTGTTTGGAGAAAAGTTAGTAGGTTACTATCGGTGGGATATTCGGGATCGTTTCGATTGGTGGTTTAGGTTTTGGGTTACACACACAGGATATTAAATTAAGCAGGATCGATTAAAGCTGGGTTTTTGTTAAAAGCAGGCATTGTTAGTGAAAGCAGGTGGTCTTCAGGATTTTTGTTAAAGCTGGGAGAGGGAAACTGGTTATCCGTGTTGTTAATGTTGCAGGGTTTTATTAGTGGGTTACGGGGAGCAAGTTCGGGGGTTTTCCACATGCAGCCATACCTTGTCGGCGGATGATAATCGGCATCGTGGTCCACTTTCTTGGGAGCCTTGGCTGCTTCACCTCCACCTGCAGTTTCCCCAGTGGCTCCTCCATCCGCGGTTTCCTGTTTCGGAACTACCGCAGTCTGATTTTTCTCTAGCTGTGCTGGCGCCTTTCGGTTGGATTTAAAAATAAGAAACAGAACAGAAACTTAAAGTTGAAGTTACGTTTAAATTAAAAGTGTAAACAAGTAAGCGCTTTTTGGTGGGTAATTTTCCTCGATTCGTTGATGGTTCTTAATTGCTCAGTCAAGTGTTTCCGCCTGTCAATCTCCATGATCAAGTTCATAAAAAGAAGATCTTGTCGGGGAATCACACAGATCAACTCGTGCACGTATTTAATTCAGCATGACTGGGAAATGTAGTGCTGTAATAAATTCAATCAGGATTTCCCAGCCCAGAAGGGCAGATGGAAAAGTTCTCTCCATTGCGGCGATAAGATTACCCGTAGTTCAGCCTATTTGGGCCCATAAATATGGCAAAAAACTAAATCAAAGCCAATTAAACGGATTCATAAAAGCCAAATACAAAGCAATTAATTGCTATCTATGTCTTTATCTATATATAGTGTCGGCCAGATAAGTGGCCTTTCGATGACACCCGAACGTCTGCCAACAGACCAACCGATTTCTATACCTATGTCTATATCTATTATCTATAGCACGTGTCTGATTCAAGCATCGAAGTTCAATGGGTCCAATTGAAAATTCTAGGTACTCGCGAGGCAAGTAAAAGTGCAAGTGGTTTATAACAATGTTATGAAACATCGGCAGCTGCTAACTGAGACTCTGAATTTCGTCAATTAGTTGTCAGCAGAAATGTTAAAAAGTAAAGGGTAATGTTAATAAATAAAGTACTTAATAAATATATTAATCAACATTAACCAGCTCATTTAGTAAATTTCCAATCAATTCGTGCTTTGTAATGGAATCCCATCACGTTCTTATATTATTGATTTGATAGTTGGGGGTAACCATTGGAAAAACCCACGTTCATTCACAATGTTTGAATCGCCATCGGTTTGTTGATATCAAGAATATATGACTGCAATATTGAACATTCCATGTGTTATTTGGAATAAATGGGAAATGATTTATAGACCACTTTGTCAGTTGGAGCACAATTGAAGTTGTCTAAGGTGTCAAAGCATTTTTCAAGCCCTGTTGGCAACTACCTGACATAAACATATATACTATATAGTATATATCTATTGAGATGTCTGGAGTGAACTTCAAGTGTCGTAAATTAGGAGCGACTTATCACCAAAATGATTTTGCTTTCGCTTCGTATCAATTGCCTTTCGTTTTTCCCCTTTCGAGATGATATTCTTAAATTGCCGTCCAACAGGTGGTATACGCAATCTGATGGAGGACATGGCGCCCATGACGTATACGTGATACGCAAACAGGGTACTCCACATTGTTGGTCTGTTTGAAACCTTGTGAAAATCTAGACAATCGTTTCCGTTGCTTATCGGCAGCTAAGAGTAGTTAAGACAAAGTATAAATTGTCATTATCTTACCCTGCCCGCAAGGTATTGCGATTATGGAGGGTAGTTGAAGAGACTTTGGCTTTCGATTTTTTTTCCATTGACGTTAAGTTATTTTCCTGTCGTTTTACTAAGAAGTTCATAATCTAAATCATAAACCAAAACGAATAATAAATAACAAGTAAATTATTCTTAAGTACTTAGCAAGTAATAAATGGTATTTTCTAAGTAAGCTGGCTTTTTAAGGGTATTCAAAGTGACGATGCTAAAGATTTTGTTTTTGACTTGTGCCACTTATTTAATAGCAAAAAACTATAGAGGTAGGCCATGGGAGGGATAAAAGGGGGTGGGGAGGGGAGGGGAAGGTGGAAAGCATACCCTTGAACAGAATAAACTTTAATCGCGACCAAACTTTTACCGTGGAAAGCAGACGACTGACATGCCGTCAATTGATGACAGATAACACCAGATAGAACTGTTTTCAAGTTTTCAAGTGCGTGCTGAGCTCCAACGGCACTTTCTTAACCCATGACAGCCCCATTGGCAAAGTGTCAACAGGCCCGCAACGATATATTATTATTTATGGCCGGTCTCGTTTCCCTTTTTATTTTCTGTATTTTTTCGCTTTTTTTTTCTTCTTGAATTGAGCAATGTCTTGGTGTGGAAAATTTTCCACGATTGACTGTGCGTGGGCCACATTGGTCGCCCTGTCGAGGGTTCACTGCACTTGGGCGCAACACACAAAATGTTTAATTTCTCTTTTATTAATGTTGCCGGAAATCTGACAAGCTCAAAGGGAACCTTGATTGGCCTTTATTGGCAAAGCTTTTGTCCGACACACAAATGCATTCGAAAATAAACATTCCACGTTAAGTGATATTCATTTATAAGATGTCGAATGATTTTTTTAATAACTAAAATTATATTTGACTTTCTCTTAGTGTACATTTTGTACAAAGATAAATACACAATGGTGTCGAGAACAAGTTCTAGAGTCTAGACCTTGATCAAGTAAATGCATAAAAGTCTGTGAACTTTTCCAGCATTTGCATTTTCATGATTGAAAAAATAACTAAATACCTCGGGCGTAACTAGGTAATATTCAAGGCTGCATTCAGGGGGGCTTTCTGCTGCTATAAATCAATGGTAATCTTTCATTAACGATAAGTGCCAGTTAGCCCATAAATCCAAGCCACAAGATAAGCAGGAATTTCGCACTTGTCAATGACTTCGCTTAACGGAAGTTAATGCCAACATTATGGGCTTATGGCGATAACATTTGTAATCCTGTTAGTTTTTAATTTATTCAAGCTCCTCAATTAACCAATACATAAATATATAATTAATAATCTAACTGTTAATTTTAGTTGTTGACATATTAATATATCAACCTCATATAAAGGCAATTTCCCTAACCATTCACATCACTCCGATGTTTTTACAATTGTTTGCATACTTAATGAGTCTTCACTAATATTTTTTTATCGCATTCCATTGCTTAATTGCTGTTATTAAACTTATCGCTATCGAATCCCCTCCTGAAACAATAAATCTGCGACTCTGTTTTTAACAGCAAAATGCAACAGCTGTGATACAAAATTTGTTGATTTTTTCTATTTGTTCTAATTTTGCACTTGAAATTTTTGTGTTTGCGAAAAGAAGTTGCCTGTGCTTTTGGTTTTTCAATTTTTGCTTTTGAATTTAAGGTTTGTTGTTGTTTGACAACCGGCATAATTAACTGGTTTTTGTGTGCGTCGTAATTATTTTGTATTTCTGGCGCTCTTTCGGCTTTTATTTTGGGTTTCACTTTTGCGTTTTTGGGTTTTCCTCTTTTTCGGCCTGTATCTTAAATTAAACGATTGCTATTTAATTACACACCTCGGCATCCATATTGTTGTTGCTGTTGTTGGTCGTCTTTTTTATTGATGTTGTCTCAGAAGTCGGTCAAAAATTAAGCAAAACAAACAAGAAAAAAAGCAAAGAATACACACACAAGTTTGCCCGTTCTTGATCTTAATGATTTATTTTCGTAGCCTGCATTTGGCTGCCGATCAACGTTGTTGTCTTTTATTTTATGAGGATGCGGATGCGGTTAGATTCTGAGCTTTTTTAGCCTTTGGCGATCTCTTCACTGTGTGTTAATCGCTCCACGAAAAATTCAAGACTGACGACCGGCGAAGCGGCGACAATCGGTTGGTTATTCGGACTGGCAGTGGGAGTGAGATAGGTGGAAGTACACTCGCAAAAAATTTAATTACCGAAATTCTTTTTTAACAAAATATTATTTCCTGTAAAAAAAACATTGTGTTTCTTATGTATTTAAAGATAAATATTTATTAACTCATATTAAAACTCAAAAAAATCAAGTGCATCTGTGCAACAGAATTAGTTTAGACTTTTTAAACTATTTTGTTCTCCAACCTGCTGTTTGTTTAGAATTGATGTCGTTCTTGAAATAGTATTTTAATTTATTTGTTACGTATTTTTTTCCTGAGTGTAGCAAGTGGGAGAGAGCATCTTCCACACCTCACCTTTCTCCTACTCGCTCTCTCTCGCTCCTTTGCGGCTCATTACAGATATATTCGACATATGGGAGTGCGAAAGAGATGGCTGACCAACAGGTTGTCGATCAGCTGTGATAATTAAATTAAATAGTTCGCATAGCTCGCCACAGATGGCGCGGCTTCAAGTGAATGGAGTAAGTTGATGAATGAAATAAACAAGTGAAAAGATTACGGACTTTGTGCTTGGCTAATTAAGCAATATGATGTGATAAAAAGATAAGACAGAATTAGAACATTTTATCTTTATCATTTTTAGGCCATGTATCCAGTTATCTAAGGTTAATGGACCGTTTTATTAATATTATTGATTTGAATAAAAAAAAAAGTATAACAAAAAGCAAAAAGAGAACTCCCCCTTAACAAATCTGCACAATAGAAAAAAATGATCCTATATACGTATACGCACTGTGATTTATGATTAAGCAATAAACATGTTAACATAATAAACCAACTTTGGTCACTACTTTGTGTTTAAGAATTCAAATAATTGACATGACGTTATTTACCCAGCTGAGTATCCAGTACGTATATATGTAGTTTTCCTATTTTTTCCAGTGTTGATCCCCTTCCATGGTTTTCTATTGCGGGACACACGCAACTATTTGAGCAGATCGCTCAATTGGAGACGGGCGGCGACCTCAGAACACAAAGAAATGCCAAATCGACCCTGGGACCCTGTCCCTGGCCTTGAAAATAGATGGACAGCACACTCATCAGTCGAAAAACGCACAGATATATGCCCATAGATACATATTCGCCTAGCCACCTCACAAGATCGAACATTGTCCTCTGATTTGGCATGATTCGCTTTATTCTTTGGATGATACGTCGATGGATGGGTGAAAAGATTATTAAAAGAATCACATTTTAGGTCAGCCGACCCAATGACGAACACAATCTTGCCAGAACGTGCTTATATCTAAAGTATATCTTTATATCTCAAGCATAAAATACTCTATAGAAAGGTAAACACACTTTGCAAGAGCGGGATAATAAGATAAAAAGATTGAAGGGAAAATTGTGGATGCATTTCCTTAAAACCGTAATAAAGGAGTTGAAATCAGAGTCAACTAAAATAAGCTATAAAATTTCATAACTTTTTATTTGCAAAACATCTTTTGTAGGGTATTTAAAGCTTAGCTGTTACAGATGAATATTCTTAAGCATTTTCTTTCAAAACAAAACAAGAACAATTAATATAAACGAATAAAATGTGTTTGCTATTAAAATAAAAATATTATTCAAATGTCAGTGAACTTCAGCGAATTGTTTTAAGTGAAAAAACAATAATATTTTCCCTCTCCGAATTTTCAAGATTTTTTATTGTTACTTTAAAGACAACTAAGCTAAAAAAAAAGGCATGCAAATTTTCCACTATCGCGTGCCAACAATAAAGAAGAATAGAACAAGGTCTATTTATAAGGAGGTTTTTATGTTGTGCTAAAATATATATTCGTTGTTGGAAATGCTTGAGATACCTTTCCCTCATAAAAACATGGTTTATTGTATAGCTCGCTATTTAATCCCTTCGACGATATCAACAAGTGTTACCTATTCCCAAAATGCGGTGACTTTCGCTTTCGGCGTCGTACAAAGTCCCTCAACTTCTTAACTCATCCAAAACAGGTAGTTCTGCTTCTTCTTCTGCTTCTGCGATATATAATAATATATGTCGCCATATCTAGACATAGACATCTATGTGGAACCGCTGACATGCATGGCTTCTGTTTAGATCGCCGGCCAAAAAGAAAACTTGCAATTAAAAATGTTGCTTTTATTTCGTTCCGTTTCGTCTTTTACCCCGTGACTGCGGCTTTTGTTTATATTATTCAGTGGATTATTGTTATTATTAAAAGTCATACGGACAGTCCCCCTTTTTTTTCGCTTGAGGCGTTTTCGAAGCGTTTTCGTCAATTGCCGTTGGCTTGAAACGTTAAACGTTTTTTAGTGACGCTCCAGTAAGTACGAATAACCAGAGAATATTATTGTCTTAGTGCTGGTAATTACCCAGTGACAGAGAGATACTATATACATACCAGATTTTAAGGGCGGGGTCACCGCCCCTGGGGGAAAGTCACCAACAACAAGCCCAAAAACAAATATAAAAGAAGTCGGCACAAAATTATGAAAAGAAAAAAATATGTGTAGATTTAATTGCAGAATGCGTAGAAAGTGAAAGATCTGAAGAGTCGGCTGCGGATTTAGACATTGTCGCCATATCCGAAACGGAAATCCCGATCTTTCCAATTCACTTCGCACCATTGTCACAATATACGAAAATGAAATCAAGTTTTTGAGATTTCCTAAGCAGATTGAAGATAAGAAATTCAAACAATTCAACAAAAATCTACAACAAAATATTTTTAATACAATATTTTGTATTTATATCTTGTATTACATTTTAACTTCTCAAATTGCAAATTTCGCAATTGATAATGTGCCACTCCCCTTTTGTTTACCTCCCACCAATTCAATCTCCTTGATTTTTTTTCCCATGTGATAATACTTTTTCCCACATACTAATGACGATTTCCATTTAATTTATTGCCTTGTCCAGCCATTCCATTTCAGTGCGAACCCAGTTGGGTGATTGGATGAGCCATCGGATTGAATTGTCGTCATTGCCAGCAATTTAATGTTGTCTTTTTAGAGCCTGTGCCCCGCCCCCTTCTCCTCGTCCGCCTCCGCCCGCTGGACAAGTCCGACCTGTTGGCCAGCGTCTGATCCTCCAGAAAGGCGAAGATGCGACGGAGCCGAAGTGGGTCACTGATGCCACAGCCACACCAAGTGCCACACACTACACACACTACACACACTGCACACACTACACACACTGCACACACTACACACACTACACACACTGCATCCCACTTACAAATGACCTGGCCGAGATGGCCACCACCTGCTGGCTCATCCGATTTGTGGGGATACCAAACCTTACCTCTAAAAACTGAGTGGCTTCAGATGCACTTAAGTCCACTCAATATGCGAACACTGTACGAAAATCCTATCTACTTTAAACTTGTGTCTGTTAAACAAGAAGAAGAAGAAGAAAAAGATTAGATTTTTTTTAGAATATATGGGAATATAATAAAATTTCAAATTATAATTTTATTACACGTACATACAATATAATTCTTTCATTGTATTTTAAAGACATTTTAATAATATTGTATTGAAGTACACTTAAAATAAAAATAATATAACTAAATAAATTCCATTCCATTCGCTCAGAATATTACGCTAATTTGCTTTTTATAATTTTTCAGTCAATAAATTATTCTTATCACCAATACAAGATGAAGGCGAGAATTGTCAATATCTCAGGAACCTTTTTTTCTTCTTTGAAATCTTGGGATCTATAACTCCTGGAGCACTTAACCCATTGAGAGCCATCGTACGATTGGATCGGCAATTGCGATACTCGTAACTGTCGCAAGGCCAGTTAAGACAGAAGATAGAAGCCACATGCCGGTTGGCCAGAACGTTCGCCAGGTTGGCGGGGTTATGAGTTCCAAGCACCGGAGTTTGGAGCCCACAGAGAAGAGGTTTTCAAAAAGAAGAAAGAGGAAGAGGAGGAGAAGGAGAAGGAGGAGGAGGGTTGGCAGTTGGGAGGCGGAAAGTTGGGAGGGAAGGCAGCGTTACGGGCCAAAAGCCAAGTGACCGAAACTGTGATGGCGAAGGGGTCTGAAGACGGGGCTTTCTCCTCAACTGAGCCAACTGAGCCAAGTGAGCCAACTGAGCTTGGTCGTCGGCGACTCGGTGATCGTTTCATTTGCCAACCAGCCGCGCAGCCAAACAGTCATCGTGGAATCGTGGAGTATTCGCTCTGTTTTCGCCGTCGACACTGAGACATGGTAACTGGCCTAAACGCTTTCCTCTGGCTCATCGTGGTCGATGTCTGGGCCATCGTGGCCATCGACTTTGGCTACCATCCGAGTGCCGAGGAGTTCGACAGCCTGTTGCGGCAAACGTGGAGTCGCGATCTCCTCCAGCGTCGCGTTCCCGAACGTCGATTTGTGCCGCGCTATCAGCACCAGACATCCATTCGCTTCGAGCCGCCGGAGCTCGATTTCCAGCTGTTCGATCAGGACAGGGATCACCTGTCCTCGCAGCCGTATGTCTTCGAGTCCGTGGAGGACAGCCGGCCGGAGTCCTCGCTCGCCGATCAGTTGCACGTGCAGAGCGAACTGCTGGAGATCAAGGAGCCCAAACCCAAACCGAAACTAAAACCAAAACCGATACCGATACCGAAACCGAAACCCCAGCCACAGGAAACCCTGGAGGGAAACGGCACCACATTTCCCATATACTTCACCCACCCAACCACCGGCATTGTGTATGCCATCAGCCAAGTGGGAGCGGGAGCGGGAGTGGGAGCGGGAGTGGGTCAGAATCCCGGAGTGATACCCACCCAAAGTCGCAACGATAGCAATGCGATTGCCATTTATGTGACCAAGGCGCAGTACGATGCGGATTTGGAGAGCCTGCGAAGGCAGTATGAAGCGAGGTGCCAGGCAATTCCACCGGGCACGGTGATATCCACCCTGAATCCGGTGCACAAGGGTGGCACCACCGCCAGACCGCAGATAATCCGATTGAAGAAACCGAAGGATCCACAAAGCAAACCGAGTAACAAACTGCCCAAGCCAAGCCATCGACCACCGCCGGTGATGGTGACCAGTGGACCCGTCGATCATGTAAGCGATCAGCTGCTCAAGCTGCCCCACCGGGGAAGCAGCAGCAGCAGCAGCACCACCACCACCAAGACAACCAGCACCACCTCAAGGCCAAATACGCGGAGAAGAAAGCGCAAGAAGCGGCCAAAGAACAAGACAAAGCTGGTGAAAAAGAGACCGGGTTACGGCGGGAATAATACCCGAAATCAGGTGGGTCCTCTGCCCATTATCCTGGGCAAGAGACCCAGCACCACCACCAGCACCAGCACCACGGCACGACCACCACCGGCTTACACGCAACTGGAGAAACCACACTTGCCGCTGGCCACTTTGCAACCGGAAAATGCCTTCAGTCAGCACTTATTTCGCATCGACGCCGAGCCACCGGAAGAGAGTGAAACTCTGGAAGAACAGGAACCACTTGGAGAACCACTAAATCTCCGAAGACGCCGTTCGTTAGAAGATTCGACAGACTTTACAGCTGGCAGACAAGTTGGTGGAGTGGATGTGATGGAAAAACCTCTTTCCGAAAGACTTTCTTCTTTGAAAACTCCGACTAAAAAGGAAATACTGAAAAAGGCTTTAAAAAAATTTAAAAAACGAGTGAAAAGAACAGAAGAATCCCCTGAAAAAACGGGAACATCGAAATCACTTCTCAGCAGACATCGTCGTTCCTTGGAAAACCCTACAAATGCAGCGACTCAAAAATCTTTTACCCAATCAAATACTGAAAAAGTAACCACGAAATCACCAAGAAAAATGCCAGAAAATGGATCACAAGGTGTATTATCAATTGGTTCCAATAGAGAAGCAGCTGCTCGAAGGGTAAATACCCCCAGAAGACCCTCTCCAAAGAGAAGTTCCAAAAAGCGAAGGACCAAGCAGCAGCAACAACAACAAACACCGCCAACTCCACAGAAGAAAGAGCAGAATTCGGGTGGTGTTGTGCACTTACCCACCGCTCTGCACTTGCTCCACAGAAACCACAGCCAGGATGAGAACAAAATTCCCAGTACCACTCTAAATACAAGCCAAAAACATACAAATAAAACTATAACTACAATTAAAACTATGACTAAAACTAAAACAAAAACTAAAACTAAGGAACGGAAACGTGGAAGACCCGAGCTGCCGGGCTTTGATATATTCGAACTAATGTCCGATGGGGATTACGATGATGAGGAAGGGGAGGAAGAGGATGAGGAAGGTGATGATGATGAATACTACTTCGAAGATGGGGAGAAGGGCAATCGGAAGCAGAAACCCCACGAAAGTGGCAGCACGGAGGCTCAGAGCGATCTCAATCAGGAGGACAGTAGCTCCGCGGAGGAGGGCGCTGATTTTGGAGCAATGGTCGAGGAGGAGACCACCACGACAACGATATCCAGCAGCGAGGAGGATGAGGAGGCCACCTCGAGCACCAAGAACTCCAATGCCAAGAAGAAGAAGATCCGCATCAAGCGGAGACCCGTTGACTCCGACGAGGATTACGATGAGGACGAGGACTCCGGCATCGGTGGCTTCTTCCGCATGATCTTCTATCCCGTCCAGGTGGCCATGTCGCGGTTGATGGGCGGCTTCGGCTCTCCCGACGACGAGGAGGAGGACGAACCAGCCAGTCCACCCGTTTCCAAGTATCCCAGCTACACTCTATATCACAGTGCCCACAGCAACGAAGCCTACGCGGAAACGGAGGATGGCGATTCGGAGGACGAGGAGGACTCCTCCTCCCTGGGCGGGTGGTTCAGCTCGTGGTTCGGCCTGCAGCGACGCACCAAGAAAATCGGCAGCACCACCACCACTACCTCGGTGCCGCTGGCACCACCCACCAAGGAGCCACCGGGATGGCTGGAGTCCTGGTTCGGATTCGGCAAACCCTCCGCTGAAACAGACGCCGAAGATGATTATGACAGTAAGTACTAATAAATAATAATAATATAATAAACTAGTAAACCCAGCGAACTCCGTTCCGCCACCAGATGGCGATAGTTTTAGGTAAAACTTCGTTTGGTGTTTAAAAGATAAAGAAATTTTTTTTTTTTTATATATGAAAAAGAAAAATTTTATTTCGATACCATTAAAACTTTGGCCATTTCCGAGTGTTTTGCAATATTACACGTTCGTTCCTCAATAATTTGAAGATTTAACGGTAATTTTAATGCTGAATGAGCCGTTTGGCATCCTTCTAACAATATGGCTGCTATTCCCAAAGAAGCAACTGCAACAGCTATGTTGGATCTCGCCCGAACAGTTGCTAAAGCTAATGACATGAGGAATGTCTTGTCAGTACCACCAGGGGCATCTAGGAAATATAAACCACAATTTTCTTCATCGATTGCCTTCATTTAAGTATTATAAACTTTCTTCTGTTGGGAATTCAACAGGGGTACATTCGCTTGAACTAATAAATTTAATTCCTGGTGATCATATTCACGTTCCCGTTCTAATTCTCGATTAAATGCCTCATTCATTTCACGATTTGGCGCTGGCATTCTAACCTGATTAATATATTATCGCACATGAGGTAACACATATATTATCTTCGATCAAGAGTAAAACCCGATAATGTATCTCCTCATTCATCAAATTGTTCACAATCAGGATGGCGACTTCGTCTATTGTTGGAGCATTAAATGTCCTTTCGTGTGTTCCAGATGGTCGTTTATCTGCTTTTATGACAACTTTATAGTCATCATTTGGCATGCGCTCTAAAGCACTCTTAAACAACCTGACCATCGCATGATGTTCATGAAGGAGACACTGCATGTCTTGAAGAATTGCTCGCTTCATCCCTTCATTGATCGCTAGACGTCGATCAAGTTGTTCTTCCATGTTGCCCATGAAATATATTTGTAAAAATTTTTTTTGTGTATCTTCGAAAGGTAGTAATGATCCAATTCGATGGTGAATCTGCCCTTGTATCTAAGATAAAGTAAGTTATTCTTTAACTATATTCTATGTAATACAAACAAAAAAAAAACCTTAAATGTCGGATTAAATCCTCGTTCTTCGATAATATCTGCCCCAAATGACGTCATTTGGAAACAACCATTGTATTTTCGGGTATTTGCAAGAAAGTGGCGTGATTCTTGTGTTTCACCACAAAGCAACGAATACAATGGCTCAGGTGGCGGAGTCAACAATGGCAATTTAACTTTACCATTAAAGCAGCATAATCCAGGCGTTTCTCCGAAAAACTTCAGTGCACCGCAATACTCGCAAACAACGTCCATTTGCCCAATGCAAACGCTAGGATGCAAGCTGTAATCAGTGATGCAATCGTATTGAAACGCTGCTCGATTCAAATCAGCACTTGATAAATTTCTTCTGCGTCGCAAATGATCTATTTCTTGACCTCTGTTGTAAGCTCGACGATTCTGCATTGTCAACCGAGCCGTATTACGGATTGCCTCTCTTTGCTCTGCTGATTGAGAAGCACGAAGGCGACCCATACTAACGCGGTTCTGTTCACGTTCAATGTTTTGTTCTTCTTCAGACCTTCCATTTGCAGTATTTCGTAGTCTTCTTGCATTACGGCTTTGTCGGGAAAGATTCGATCGTCTTGGTCGCGGCATTATTAATTAAACTTCCCTTCACTTCAATTCACAAAAAGCACGAAAAACTTCACTTCACTTCAATTCACCAAAATCACAAATAACTTCAATTCACTTCAAAAAAATTGAGTTAAAATGCTATGGTAGTGTGTGCTTGTCAGTGTGATGAGGTAATAACTCAGTTTATATGCGATTTTTGGTATGTCGAACGGAATAAAAAGTACCCTAAGTCCTATTCCGGGCTCTAAGCTACCTTCCTACCAATTTTCAGCCAAATCTGTTCAGCCGTTCTTAAGTTATAAGTGGTGTAACTAACACAACTTGCTTTTATATATATAAATAGATAATAATAATATAATAAATAATGATAATATAATAACAAATAATAAATTAAAGCAAGTGAAGTACAGTCTTAAAATATTTATTTAAGTTTAATTCAGACTTATGGAGTATATTTAAACAATTTACCATCTGTATAGTAATTATATTATTCTATTTCTATTCTATTTCTAATAGATTTCTATTCTATTTCTATTTCTAATTCTATTACTATTTTTAATAACTGCTCTGAATTTATTACAGTTTAAGTCTAACTTATGGAGTACTTAAACAATTTATGCATTTCAATCTATAACTTTTTTTAGTAATTAGCCTTAAAATTTCAATTAAGCATGAGCCACATACAACAGACAATCACAAAAATATGCACATGCTTGATTAGTTTTGGACTCAAGAAATATAGTAACGATGATCTGGCAGTTTATGAATACCTATGGTATTTCTATATTTAGAATTTATTTATTGCGCTTGCCTCGCTCGTTTTCGTCTGTGTTCAAACATCTAATTGCCATGCAATTAAACGAGAACTCTTCTTGTTGTTCGAGTGACTCGGTTAATAGGGAGATTGGCTGAATGAGCAGGAAGATAAAAGGGAAAACCCCGAACCCAGAACCCAATTGAATGGCTAACGGTGTGTGGTGGAGCTTCCGAGTGGGTTCTCTCGTTTTCCTTCACGCTTTCTGCACCACGAACCAAATGCCAATATGCTGCACTTGTGTACATATGGTAAATGACGACTTTTCTCCCTCCTCCCACACAGAATGGTTTTCCACCTGGTTCGATTCGGGGCCAAAGCGAAAGGTCAGGCGTCGTTCCACCACCTCGACATCGACGACCTCAACCACAACGACCACCCACACACCTTCGGCGGCGGCCCAAGTGCCCATCCTGACCATTGTGGATCCACTCAGGAATCCCCAGAATTGGATTGGCATTCTGGCCCATCATATTGTGAACTCCACGGGCAATGCCATGGCCTCCACCACCACCTCGAATCCCGTGCTGCAGGCCTTGGCCACTCGGATGACCACCAGGGGCACCACTAGCACCACCACCAGCACCACCTCGAGACCGGAGGTGCCCAGGCGCATCAGCTACGATAAGTACCAGATTTGGCGTCTCAAGCCGCAGGACGAGGAGCAGGTTCGCGCGCTCGAGGAGTTCAAAAAGGGCGAGGATGGGGTCAAGATGCACTGGCTCAAAGGTCCCAGCCTAAGGTGAGTTTTACTGACTTTTCCCTACCAGTTGAAACAGAGTTAAACTTCTTATTCTCGAATCATGAAAATGGTTTTAACCATTATGCTAACACCAAATCCTCTTAGATCTTTCTAACCTCCCTCCAATTTAATGTTATACTTTTCAGAGGCCTCACCGATGTCTTAGTTCCCCCAAAATGCTGGTTGACTTCCAGGGAACGTTGAACTACGAGGGCATCGCCCACGAGGTGCTCATCTTCGATGTGGGCAAGGCCATTGCCTACGAGCTGAGCAAAGAGGATTACCTGCACACCACCCGTCCCTCGAAGCCACGACCCACTATACCGCCGCCGATGACCTGGAATCGCTATCACAACCACGACGAGATTGTCAAATATCTGGAGACGGTGCGCATGCGCCATCCGCAGTTGGTCGAGCTCATCCACATCGGTCGCTCCTTCGAGGGTCGTCCCCTGATTGTGGTCAAGATCGAGTCCAAGCAATCGGCGGCAACGGCGACCAGCGAAGGTCACCAGAGTGCCAAGCGACCCAAGAGGAAGCGGAAGGCCGGTCAGGCGAATGCCGTGTTCGTTGAGGCCGGAGCTCAGGGATTGGCGTGGATTGGACCAGCGGCAGCCACTTGGATGATCGCGGAGCTCTTGCGATTAATGAAGTCAAACAGTGAGTGAAAATACTCGTTAGCTTTATAACTAGTTTATTGAACTTGAAATTTAAAGGTAGAAGTAGAAAGTGTGTGTTCCAAAATCCTTGATCAGTGTTCAAAGTTCCACCCCTGTCAGTCTGAAATTAGTTGAAATCGAAGCCTTTTTTGGCGCCCAACATGGGGCCAACGTATCCTCAGAGGTTATCGCAACATGCGGGCAACGACATCGCGCAGCCAGAGGACAATGGTAGGCGGTTGTTTCATCTCCGTGGGTATGGCATAACGTCTGGAGCTGAGGAAGATAGCTCGACCCTCGCAGTCGGTAAAGCGTGGCTTTCGGCTTTCCAATTTGGCTCCGCAAATACTTTTCCGCCGACAACCGCCTCCATCGCTCTTTGTTTTTGGCGCGGAAGACCATTTCCTGGCACAGCTGTTCGATTTTGCTTTTGGCTTGGACTTCGATGAACAGCGAAAGGGCCAAAAGCCATGGCCTTTGTGTCGAGAACGAGCTCGATCGCGGGCATGGCAGCAGGATCCCGTGCGATTGGTCACCTGCGAAATGGCAAATGCGATGAACAGCAGCCCGAAAACGATGGCCACCGCCACTTGGACATTCCGATCAGCGTTCTTAAGGTCCACGAGTAGCTGAACAACGTGGTAGCCCAAGGTTATCCAGAAGGTTATGGTGCAGATGGCAAAGAAGCTGGGGGGTAGAGGGTTTCCAAGAGAGGTTGTGATTTAAGGAGATTTTTTTCAGAGAGGGAAATGAGTATCTAGCTGGGGGAAGAGGGTTTCGAAGAGAGGTTGTGATTCAAGGAGGTTTTTTAGAGAAGGGAAATGCGTATCTAGCTCGGGTAGAAAGTGAATACTCACACTAGCACACCGAGCACCTCCAGCAGGAAGGTGACGAAGTAGTTCAACTGATCGCTGCCGAAATCGGTGTCTTGCGAACTGCGCTGGGCGGGACCGGGTCCCATTGGCTTGTAGCCAGCTGCCGCACTGGGATACCCACCGGAGGCTCCCATTGGGACTCCTCGCTGGCTGGCGTTTCCACCCGATGCCATTAATATGCCGGGCTGTCCCAAAGTGCCGGGTATCATGAAGCTGCTCTCATCGACGCCGTGGGCATCGCGACAGCCGGCATCGCAGCCGGTGCCATAGCCACAATCATCGCCGCAGGCGGTGCCCAAGCTGCAGCGGGTGTGGCCCAAGGTGGCGGTGCCCAGATGGATGGCGAATCCCAGTGTGTCCCTGCCGGCGTGTCCGCCAGCCGCCGGTTGCTGCTGCCGCTGCGACCAGCCGCCGTGGCAGGTGCCAATATCTGGACTGCTCTCCATCCGATCGTTGTTACCATTGTCATCGTACTCACCCTCAAGTTCACTGCTGAATCGGTTCCTTTCGAACGCGACCGGGTCCTCTGCAAAGTTGATGGCCGCTGTTGTTGGTGCGGTGGTGCTATCGTCACTGCCACCGCCAGTGGTGGGTCCAAATCGCAGGTTGCCTTGCGCTCCGGCAAGCGACGAGGTTCGCGCGGCGGCGATGTTAAAGGCGTCCGGCACTTCGGCCGATATCCGCGGACTCTCCGAATCCCGTGGGCCGGCGAACGTCAGGCTGCCCGGTGGGCCATGAATCGCCGATCCCCGGGGACTTGCCGCCTCGGGCACGACCATTACCCCGGGATTCACCTCCACGGTCCCCGCCGACTCCTGTGACTCTCGTTCCGGTGCGAACGGAGCACCTTCGACGGGATCTTCGGTGAATCGCAGGCCGCGCGGCGCCAGGCGGGCCACCCGATTCAGGCGTCCACTCAGAAGGGAGGTGATTGTTGCGGCTCTGGTGCCATTCTGCTGATGGGGAGTCCTTGGTGGCGACGACGGGGATGGATGCGACGACTGGGCACGCAGAAAATGGGGCGAGGATCCGCGGGGTCTTCGCCGCTCCATCGCCATTTAGGGGACAAGTGGCGATCCGGGGGATTACCTGAACTTCTAACACTCTCGATTTTATTAAAGGAACTGGCAATCTGTTGACTGACGACGAGACTGACAAAGGAAATACAAACTGAAATGAGGCAAAGAGGTTACTGAGATACTTTACCAGCTTTTTAGAATCTTTAAATTAAAAAAAAAAATAGTTGGATAGGTTTTTCTATTTAAGAAATGATATTCCATTAAAGTAATTTTAAAACCATGATTGCTTGATTGATTGGAAACCCAACAGAGAGCAACGAGGACGTGGAGTTTATCAGGAACACCACCTGGTACGTGATGCCTGTCCTGAATCCGGATGGATATGCGTACAGCCATGAGTACGATCGCTTCTGGAAGAAGTCGCGATCGCAGCACCAGGCTCCGCCGCCCAGTGGCCTCCTCGATTCGGCGATGACGTGGCTGCAGCAGAAACGCGGACCGGACAAGGTCTGCTATGGCGTCGATCTGGACAGGAATTGGCTATATCATTGGGGCAAGCGGGGCAGCTCCAAGTCGCCCTGCAACGAATTCTACGCGGGACCGGCGCCATTTTCCGAACCGGAAACGAAAGCCGTCTCCGAGTTTCTCATGGATTACCGCACGCAGATCAAGGTATCCAAAATATAATACATTTTTTGTGTTAATATTGCATATAAAATAAAAATTCTTTCAGCTGTATATATCCCTGCAGGCCTATGGCCAGATCATATCCTATCCAGTCAAGGCCAACTCCACTTTCAATTCGGAAAGATTGGACGATTTCCTCGACGTGGCAATGGTGGGCACCGATGGCTTGAGAAAGAAGGGCAGTAAATCGCGATACAAGGTTGATGCCTCCAACGATCTGATAGAACAACGTTCGGGTGAGTGATCTATATATATATCATATATATATTATACTTAACAAAATAAGTAGAGAAAAAAAAAGAAGAACACCTGAATAAATACAAGAGAAGAAAGTAATTGAAGAATGTTACATAAATCGAAGTTATACTAATTTCTAATTTCTCTTGCGCTGTGGTCCTTGATTTTTGCAGGCTGTGCGGACGCCTTTGCCGCCTACGAAATCGGAATCCCCTTCAGCTACACACTCCAACTGGCGGACAACGGGGTCCACGGCTACTTGCTGCCGAGCAGCGCCATCGAGCCGACGGCTCGCGATGCCTTCGAGATCATCAGCGGCATGCTGGACTACATCTGAAGCACGTCGCTGTTGGATATATCAGATCGGGATGGAAGAGCAGCGGGAGCAGCAGGGATTCGGTGGGGTGGGGCAACATGTGTGAAAGTTTTAGTTCCTTTTTATCGCGCTTTGGTGGCTTGCGTTCCGGAGATCACTTGCCACATTTCCGGAATACATTCTCCATTAATGTTAGCTTAATCGCATCTGCATTTTATCTATTCAAAATTTTTTTTTTTATTTTACACAAATTTTCCTATATTGAGATTTTCACATAGCTTATTAAATATTGTTATATGTATATTATAATTAAATATTCGCTGCATTTTTTTTTTTTGGTAGTTGAAATCCTGTTTAGAATAAATAGTATACCTAAAATAAAGTCTTATATTTGATCGAGCATTCGATTGCTTGCTTTTCATTTAACTTTTTGCATGGATGCCATGTAGGGGAATATGTTTTAGAGTTTTCTATAGATCCTTCGATAGATTTGCACCATCATTATATTATATTCGCATATAATATCGGGTACACCAACTAATTCGTTTATAAAAATATTCTCAAAGCTTTAATTTACATGTGAATATTAGTGGAAGTTATAATAATATAAATAACTCACAAAAACGTTATCGACTTATCGCATAATTGCGAACGTAATATTTTACAACTAAACAAATATTTTTTCTATCAATTATAAGGGGCGATTCACTCTTCAATCTCTCTGGCTTATAATTTAGGTATACATTCGAGTCTGTTCTGTTTTAATGGAAATTTAGCTTTAATAATTGCAAAGACTTCCGTTTACTTTAACAACAAGTTCCTTGGTTTAGAGGAATGAGATATTCGAATTATGTCTTCTTACGAAAATAACTTAAAAATGTGACTTCATGTGGTTTTGATATCATAATTGACAATAAGTTCTTTCGCGATTAACGTAAACATAAGCTTAATGAAAAATTCCATATGTTTTTTGCTTTTGGGCAGGAATATCAATGAATTCAGTTAAATGGAAATGCAGCTCCAAAAACGGCTTCTTTTTAACTTTTTGAAAGGTATATTTATACCTTTCATAAACAACTAAAATCATATTTGCATCGTTTGGAAAGGGGGAAGTTTTGATAGTTTTATCATACTGGCAGCAGTGTTTTGAGCATTAGAAGAAGCAAATTAAAGGTGGAACCGAACTGCAAAATCGAGAAAACCGAGCTTTGAAAGGCACAATGGTTGATTGGAATCCGCGTTTTGCTTTTAGGCGACTCCCTGGGTATCCTGAATCCTGGCGGAAAGTTTGGCAAAGTTTGTATAACATTCGTTGCCGTGGAAATACAAACCGATGAGCAGTTTAAACTGGGCTGGTGACATGGGATACGGTTCCTGCGACATGACCACAATCGTATTGATCGATTTTCCCGCCTTTTGCGGCTCCAAATTGGCCAGAATTTCGCGGTAATTGACAAAGGCTGCCGAGCATTTGGCAATGTGCCGCACCATTTTATCCGTGGAGCACTGTTGCATCACAGGACGCAGCAGGGCTTCCAAGACGAGCGATTGCAGATCGAATATAATCAAATCGGGAGCAAAGGGTTCCGTGTTGTCCTGCAGTTCCAGCATCTGGTGCGGCGTACTTTCAACATCCAGCAACTGCAAAGTGGTCAGGTATTTGCTACGATTGCTAAAGTCCCAAGGATAACAGCTCGCCATTCCCTGCTGCCGACTGGTGATCAGTAAAACCCTCTTTTCCTTCAGGGCAAAGCGTTCGCATAGCTATTTAAAACCAGAAAAAAAACAAGTCAAGCCAAGATTTCAAGGTTTAGTACTTTAAGCCGCAGGACCCAATTACCTTTGCCAAATTAAGGACGTAATCCTCAGTGCCCGTCAAGTATATGTATTTATTAATGCAGTCGCTTAAATTCATTCCTTGGAAATGTTTAAAATGAAAGGAATCTTGAGAAAATAAACAACAAACTTTTTTATTTTGCAGAAAACTGAACACTGGTGCTGCCAACTCCCTGAGAATCCCAAGCATATCCGTAATTGCAAATAGCTGGGACAGCAGTAAATATTTTGATTAATTTTAAAACATTTTACTGTCTTCGAACCTTTCGTAATGTTCGATAACATACAAATGACACTGATGCATTTGGTTTAATCACTCTAACACCTCTTTTTAAATAAAATTCGGTATCTTAGCATTCAAATTTTAACGCGAGTTGGTAGTCTGTGGTTCAGTATGACCCTTCAGAAGCCCGTCCAACGCCTAGCGCCGAAACGCACTAAAATATCCCACAAAAAGCCGCGCCACCTGGAGTTCACCACAGCAACCAATCCAATCTGACAAGTAGTCGGACTCTTCACACAACTACCCAGCGGCCACCAAAAGGGCGACAGCCTATGAATTGTTAAGAATGTGCGAGAGGGATGGCAACAGCGACCGATGGCTGTCAAACTCAACACAGCCGTGCCGACGAACAGACCGCACAAAGCGTAATGCAAAAGAATTGAAAAAAATCATCAAGTATAGAGGCCAAAAAGCGAACGCAGCAAGTCGGCGTACTATTAACCAATTGTTAATTCATTTAGCAACTAAATGCGGCGATTACAGCGCATCGAAGGCGATCGGCAAACGAATTGCGGTAAGGTACTAAAAAGGCGATGAAAAAAAGGAGAAGTCAAACGAAATACGATTGAAGCGACACCACACGCACACAAGCAAACGCACACACCAGTGTGCCGTGTTTAAAGTGAAAAACTAAAGGCGTTTTTGGGGCGCTAATTGCATTAAGAAGAACAAAAAGGAATCGGTTTAAAGGATTTCTTTGAATGTTTGTACTTTTAGGAGGAAACGAAATAAGCCGATAAAACGGCGACCGCAATTTGGGAACACCACACACACATTCACACACGGATTCACAGGCCACACATACAGACACACACATGCCACTGAGAGCCTCCCATACAAGCAGACCACAACACACACACACACATACAAGCGCGCGTGCCTTGGCAGGTGAGAAGAAGAAGAAGGAGCAGCAGAAGGACAGGGAGGAGGAGGAAAACAAGGTGCAAAAAGGAGGCGCCAAAGGCCCCACAAAATTGGATAAAATCGGAATAGGGCTGCACTATCTCACCGAGAACAGGAAGCAGCGGGCGGCGCAAAGAACGAGGATAAACCCAACAGAAGCAGCAGCGTATTTGGCGAAAAACTTGCATTGATGGTAATGCATGCTAGAAAACCGCAGCGTATGAACGATGGGTATGCATTTATGGACAAGAAATATATAGAAATAATATACAGTAATATCGGCAATAACAGTGCTCTCCAACACACACACTCGCACCCACCCATAATTGTATATTTTTTTGTTTACGTTCTGCAGCCTTGCCGTCTCGCTCTAACTCGCAGTGCGGTCACTGCCCGCGATTTGTTTTTGCCCTATATTTTTATATATTTCGCTGATTAAATCAAAATCCTTCATTTATTAATTTCCTTAAAGTTTGTGACTTTGATTCTTGCTCTGCTTTTGGCATTTTCGTGCTATTCGTGTCTTTTGGCTTTTCCACCACACTACAGTTGCCTCTCGCTCGCACACGCTCAGCTGGCAGTGGGCAAAAAAAGTGAAAAAAAAATTCTTGTCACATTTACCGTTGCTTTTTGCACTGAAAATGACCGTATATTTTTTGTTTATCACTATAATTTGCCTAAGTTTGTTTATTTACCATCGGTTTTAACCGGCTTTTAATTGTTCATTGAACTCGAAACAACAAAACTAATTCACTGTCAACAAATCGATGCCGGCATTGATAAGCCCTTTTATTGATAAAAGAAAACTCAAAAGAAGAAGGAAATCGATTTGTGTTTGGAATTTTATTTAAACCGAAAGATTACTGTGTGATATGATAGAAGTTTTAAGTCTTTTTTTTTTCGTAAAGTCAGAGCACCTTCATTCTGCTTTTTAAACGATATATCTAACAATCTTATTTATCTTCTTTTCCATTTTAGGTACTTTGAGAAGCATACCAGTCACACTTCCTACCAGGTGAGCAGGCCGATCCGAGATTCCTTGTTTAACCGCAAATTATCTCATTTTGAATGCCAACTTTTAGTGGATACTTTTATTGGTTTCGTAGCTAAGCTCCTTTCGTAGTGCACCTTCTAAAGCCAAAAAAAGAAAGCCAATGTAAATCGTATATTCTTGAACCATCAAATTTCCTTTGTCATTTGCTGATATTTTAGTATGTAGTTGGACCACTAAAAAATCAACCAAATTGCAAATTGTATAGCCTGGATTTATGAAATTGTTCGGTTCATATTTATATTCCTTTTTCAATCGCTGTGTTTGTTGTGCATCCCATATCTTACTTTTCCTTAACCTCATCCATTTTTGTACTGACCAAATCGTTTTTCATTTTAACCCATTCAAAAACGCGGCATTGCAGCCTGAACTGATTTAAATTGAGAAACGAATCTTTACTCATCAACGCCAAACAAAAAAAAAAAAAAAAAAAAAAATTAAATAGTAGTTAAATAGGCTTATAACAACAAACCGAGAAAAAGTTATCAACAAAATATCCTATTTAGCAAAAAATTATAAATTACAATCTTTAACCGAACAGCACAAATATATGCTTTAAAACTAATTATATATTAAAAAAAAAATAACAAAAGCGGGATTATAAACATTTATTAAACTATTTTAAATAAGACTCATAACCAATTTCTGAAAGCTGCCTAAAAAATAAAATCTTAATCAAACTAAAATAGCCTTAAAAACGACGTAGTAAACAATTATACACCAATACAAAACTGTGCAACTAAGAAACATAAAAATATCTCAACAATATTTATCGAAAATATCAACGACTACACCAACAACACAAATGTGCCTCAAACAAAAAGCAACAACAATCAATTAACCAAACAAAAAATGAAATGAGAAATAAATACAAAAATAAAACAAAATTAAAGTTGTGCCCTCGAAAAGCGACCAAACAAATAACAACTCAACGAGAAAAATCAACAAACCAACCAAAGCTTATCAATAATTAAAAATAAATTATCTATGAGGAGCAACAATAACTCTTCCCGAAGCAGCAGCAATAAAACCAACAATAAATCCAGCAAGAACAAAACCAACAACATGGCTGTAGACCTCTCCCTTTCGACAACAACAATTGCCAATTGCAATAGCAACATTAGCCACAATAACAACAATGCTAGCGGTAAAAGTAGCGCAGCAGCATCGACGCTGGCAGCGACGTCGACGCCGTCAGCGGTGGGCTTATGTCGCCTAGAAGTAAGTAATTCATGAAAACAAAGATTCATTAATAAACAAAAAAAATACAAAAAAAAGTCCATCAAAACACGCTTGAAACAATAAAAAACAGTGACAGACGGCAATCAAAAACACCGAAATAAGCAAAAGATATCCTGTATGCAGTTTATATAAAAAAATAACCAAAACAACATTAAAAACCAATATGAAATATGGAGAACAACCCCTAGAAAATGGAGCAGCTACCAAATCTTAAATCAAAATGTATATAATTTAAACTCAAATTTGGATAAAACTACATACAAATCGTCGCTAAAAAATATTTGGCAACACAATGTGATTTGTTTTATTTGGGCTAAACACTAAAAGATGATGCATTTATCTTCTGATTAACCAAAGCAACAGCTATTATAATTTATTTTGGACACGTCAAACAAAACATAAAAAAAACCAAAGAAATAAATATTAAAAAAGCATTTATATTTTTAGTTGTAAAACTATTTATTGGAAAGTTCAAGGAAAACTTACACTTAAATTTCGGATATTATAAATTGTATTTACCAAACTTCTGGTTTGACATATTTCAAAATTCTTATAGATTTTACGTTTAATTTATAAATCATCGGAATTTCATTTCACGTAACTTTTAATTCGTTAATTTTGTTTTGCATTGGCAATTATCATAAGCGAGAACATTGGCAAAAGTAGCTGGCATTAATGCATTTATGTATGATTTACTTATTGAGTAGATTTAGTTCAATTAACCACCCCTGCCCCCAAAAAAAAAATTGAATAACTTGAAATATTTTAACTAAACCGAGACCTAAATAAACCGCTTTAAGAATTTAACATAAACAGTGATTCTGTATTTTTTAAGAGGTTCGATGGTGATTTAAGGTGTGGTTGATTTAAATCTTTACATTTAATCCTGTTTCTTTGTCTGTTTGCCTTTAAATTTGATAACTGATTTATCAAGGATTTAGCAATTTCTAGACCACAACTTTTATTCCCGCTGGGGCTTCTTGAAAAGTATTATACTTTTTTTTTTGTAGAACTGTGCAAAATATTTAGGGGAATGTTAACCGACTAAACACTGTGCGCTTCTATTTACCCGTGCAGAGCTCAAAGTACAGCAGTTCAAAGCGCGACTACGAACGCGATCGTTCCTCCAACTATCGCGATCGCGATCTGTCGCCGGGCGCTGGCGGTGGAGGTGGCGGCGGATCCGCTGGCGGAGGAGGCGGCGGTGGCGGCAGCGGCAATGGCGGCGGACCATTGAACAATGGCAACAGCTACCGCTCCCAATCGCCCGACATCGATTCGCCATCGTCCCGTTCGCATGATCTACGCGATCGCAGCGATCATCGAGGCGGCGGCGGTGGAAATGGACGTGGCGGCAGCGGGGAGCGGTATAGCTTCCTGCAGAAGATGCGTGATCGAGATCGGGATGTCTACAAGAAGGATAAATATTCAGGTGACTAAGGATTAATGCATTTAATGATGAAAACTAGTTCAAATTATTTGTTCTCCCCGTTTAGACAAACGTGATCGTCGTGGCAACGATCGTGACTCGGAGTCGTCGTACCGCACCAACCATGACAGGGATCGTCGGGGCGGAGGAGGAGGTGGCGGCGGAGGAGGCGGTGGAGGAGGCAACGCCAGCGGCAAGCTGTGCTCCTCGCGGGAGAACGACAAACGCTCGGGTTCCGACGATCGTGATCGGGAGCGGGACCGAGATATGCGCGACCTGCGCGACAAGCGGGATCGTGGCTCCGATCGAGACAGGGACATGTACAAGAAGGACAAGTACGCAGGTAAGTCCAGACCCCAATGATTCTTTCGGGTTCCTTGTTAATTGAATTTGTTTTTCTCGTTCATTTGCCAGACAAACGCGAACGCAGCGATCGCGGCGAGCGAACGGCGCGTTATGGCGACTGGAGCGAGCATGTCAGCTCATCGGGTTAGTCCATCTATACACCACCATCGTCCCCGCCAGCTTTTGATCTTAAATGTTACCTTGTTTTCAGGCAAAATGTATTACTACAACTGCAAGACGGAAATCTCTCAGTGGGAGAAACCAAAGGAATGGGTGGACAGAGAAAGGTAAATAAAAAATATCCAATGGAATCCCTTCTCCTACACTATAATTAACATATAAATAAATGCTTACAGAAATTTGCCGCGCGATCAGCATCGTGAGAAGGACTATCGTGACAAGGATCGCGATCGCGACCGTGATGATCGTTTCTCCAGATCGAGTTAGTTTAAAACTTTGCCTTAAAAACCTAAAACTAATATCTAAATCCCTTGCAGCATACAAACATTCCAATTCTTCGCGCGACAATTCACGACTGAGATGGAATTACGACAACGATGGCGGTCCACCCAGCCATCGAAGACGTTTGGATGGTAAGAAAATTGATCGATTGATTGATAGTCAGTCAATTGCAACATCGGAATGATACCATTTGATACCATTTGATCTAATATTGATATTAATCGCAGGTCGACACAACGACAATGCTGATATGGACATAAGCGGCGACTCGACGCCCACCTCGGAGGCCAGTTATTCGCTGAGCGGCACACCCACCACCCACGGCGGCGGAGTTCCCAGTGGCGGCGGCGGTGGCAGCAGCGATCAGCCATTGGGTAACGCCCTGCCACGTTTGGCCTCCCATCCGAATGCTAATTCCTCCGTCTCAGTGGCAGCGGGCGCTGGATCGGCGGCGGGACTCCATTACGGCAGTGGAGCGGGCGTCGGACCGGTGACGGGCGCCACAATGCTGCCCACCAGCGGACTGTCGTCGTCGGGAATGGTGAACAGCAACAGCAGCAACAGTGCCGGCGGCAGCAGCAACAACACAAGCAGCAGCAGCCTAAGAAACTCCGTTGTCGGCCACATTGGCTCCACATCCGGCGTAAGCTTATCGCATTATCAGATCATCAGAAATCTTGATTAACCACGTGAATATTACTTTGCAGACAACTGTGCCGACGCTGGGGAGTCAGGATCCGCACCAGCACCATCTGAACTCGAATGCTCCACTGCCACCGGGTGCGAAGGGTAAGGATCAGGCGCTACTCATGCGCCAGAAGATGCACCTAGGCCTCGGCGTCCTCGATGGGCAATTGCATCACGGCGTCAACTCGGTGGGTTCGTCGGCAGACGGGGTGGTCAACCATGCCTACAACTCGGTCAATAACTCGGTCTCCGGCAGCAGCCTAAGCAGCTTACGGTTTGTCAACAGTGAAATCTTATCGTTCTCCAATGAATATTAATCGATTAATATTTTTTAAACCAGGGACAACAGTGTAAACTCACCGCTGTACATGCCGCATCCGCACCACAGCCTCTCACCGCCGTTGAGCTACACGAAGAGTCCCATACCGACGATTGTTGGCCACACGAACAACGTGAGCAACGCGTACACCTGCAATCCACCCTTTGGCCTCAAGACAAGCCTCGACGGCGGAGTGCTGGTGGCGAACGCCTCGCCGGCGACGCCGGGCGGTAACGTCTCCTCCGGCTCCAGCGGAGCGAATAGTAGCAGCCAAAGCATCGTGCCCGGGATGGGCGCCGTCAGCGGAATCAGTGTGATCACCTCGATGGGCAGCAACAGTGGCGGGGCGGCGGCGGCGGGTGGCGAGGGCCCGCCAACACCCACACAGGAACTGGACTTGAGCGGCGCGGCGCTGGAGCAGCAACAATTAGCCGCCGCAGCGGCAGCCGCGGCAGCGGCCAGTCTCCAGCTGCAGGTGGCGCAGCAGGCCCAGCAGCAGCGAAAATGTGAGTCCTTCGTTAGTAGCAGCAGCGAGACTAAAAATACAAATTATAAATAAACATATATCCTTTATCGCAGTGGATGGCACCTCGTCGGCCACGCTGAGTTCGCTGCAAAGCTGCGTCGGATCATCGGGTCAGGCGGCAAACCTGCGCGGTCCCGAGATTTCGCCCAAGCTGGCCAAATACTTTCGCGCCGACCTGATTGCGCATGTCACCAACTGGCAGGCGGAGGTGCTGGAGCGTCAGGTAAGCTGTGAGGTAGGATTTGCACGCGCATAAACAACTAACTGCTTCCCTAACAAAATACATACGTGTGTATACATTTTTGAGCTTAAACTGATGGTAAATGTTCTTTCTCGTTGTTTCTCGAAGGCGCAGAAGTGCTGTGAGGATACACATCTGTTTGGCGACATCAACTGCACGAGGATATGCGCGGAATTGAAGTGCGCCCGCAGCCTGGTGCGAAGCACTGAGATCAACGCCACCCTGCAGGAACAAAAGTGAGTGAAAGTCATTGTTAACTAGATTTGATGTTCTTCTTACCTGTACATCGTGTATACTCCTTGCCGCAGAATCATGTATTTGCGCCAGCAGATCCGCCGTATTGAGGAGTCGAAGACTCAGAACGCGTTCATGTCGGACGATACTTAGGATCAGGAGCAGGTTAGGCTGCGCGTACATCGCAAGCTGTCTGTCAGGCTCAAAAAGAGCTTCTTCTGGCGCAGCTGATGATGATTGCGATGATGATTGGTCCATTGTGGCCGCCGCCAGCAGCTAGCCTTTGTCCTCGTCTCGCATGCCCGGATCCATGCGTATATATTATTTTGTTACCGGCATCTGGGAATGGTTTAGATGATGACGACGACTGGCGGAGCGCTACGATAATGACTGATATACCGCGTGCATCCTGCTCCATCCTCCTACTTATCTCCACTGGGCGACGCATCTCTCCCCACCACCACCACCACCAGCCCGCGATTCACTTGTGTTCGGATCGAGTTCCATTTCTAGTCCCGCAGCCGACGACATACAGTGGCAGTGTATTATAGCTGGTTAAGCGAAACTGGGTGGACTTGGCACAGGACAAATCAGGATAATTCAACCAACCAACAGCTGCAACAAGAACTCCAACAAGAAACACAAAAAAACTAAAACATAATTTATAATTAGCAAAGCGTAAATTAAAAACAAAAGTAAACTTAAATAAGCATGAAGCATGGCAAAGGAAAAAAGCCAGAGAAAATAGCCACAAACACAAACACTCAAGATAACTACAAAAGGAGAATAGAGCCGACAAAAACCTATCAAGATCAAGAAGCAATATGGATAAAGCCTCGTAACGAATCGAAATTAAACAAAAAGAAAACAAAAACAAAAGATAAACAAACGAAATAGGATCAACAACACCAGCAACAACACCAACAACAAAAAAAAAAAAAAAAAAAACAAGTCAACATAGTATACTCAACTGCAATAAAAAGCTAATTAAACTATATACAAATTATATATAAATAAATATATATAGAGTATATGAAAGATTGTATATTTACAACAACCCAACATAAATATGTATGAGAATCATGATGATAAATGATTACGATGACAACCAAAATGCGAGTCAAGTCGAGCCGAATGCACGCTTCACGGGATGAGGACATCGACAATTTTATGTATATATATACCTATTATATATATATAAGTTGGGAATCCTGCAACTCAACGCCGTTTTTTTAAAACCGCATTGCATTCTTTTTCATTGTGCAAGCATGGATGTTGGTTTATTCATTTGAATATTGGCTTGGTGAACTTTTTGTACGATTCTTTTTTTGTAGTTATTTACCGGTGAAATGCAACGCCCGCCCACGCCCAAAATTACAACCAATATCTATTTATGAAAACCCAGTTTTTTAAACCTCTGATTGAATTGCAGCAAGTTTTGTTTTAGTTTAATTTTTTGTATGCCCTACATTTACGACTTACCAAGTACATGATCATATATTTTTTATTTGATATGCATACATAATTTATTTGGCACAAGCGATAATTTTTTTGTTATTTAAGCAAAGCGAACGGAGAAGCGAAATGGAAGCGTGGGGAAAGAAGAACTAACAACACGTATATAAGTGTAATTTTGAGTTTTTTTTTTAAATCTTAACTTGTCTAAAAACAAACCAACAAACAAAAGAAATGGATCTGCGAATTACGCAGATGCGAAACAAAAAAGAAAGCAAACAACAGTTTAATAATAATGCTAATAACTACTGTAGATATACATATAAATAATATATAATAAATATATTAGCTAAGCGTCGAAAACAAAAAAACCAACCGAAAATAGAAACTTTTATTATGAATTAATTAAAAAATACAACAACAACAAAATTACACGCTATTTTCTATGGCCAAAAGGGGGCAGTTGTGATGTTACCATAAATATTTCAAAAATGGTAAAAACCGATCGACAGACAGACGGACAGATATCGACTTGTGTGATGATCCCGATGGAGAATATATATTCTTTATGGGCTCGCAAGTGCTTCTTATATTTGAATGATAAAATTTTGGTTTTTTGATCAAGTTATCTTTGCCTAAGCCAATGCTTTTAGAGCTCGTAGATATTAGTGTCATACGACTAAAAGTCCCAAAATCATAGAATTCATTTTACGCTTGAGAGAATATTATCCACAAAAAAATAGCAATTTCTATTTAAAAAATGGAAAGAAAGCAAAAGAACCAAAAACTTCGACAGGGCTGTTGCTACTGTAATTGCTCTTGTTTAGAAGTAAGTTTATATAACATAAGAGGTACGTCTTTTTATTGTTTCGTTTAAAACGCGTAGAGCAAGGAAATATCGCCGCGAAGCTCAAAGGAAGTTATTCGAGTGCGTCGGGATACAAGTAGTCCTCAAGAAAGTGATCGCTATCATCAGGAGTATGAGCAATATTGCCCTTGTCAAGCTAGTTATTGTCCTCATAATATAATAAGGGCTGAATACGATTTGCAGACAGCTCGAAAGAAGGCAACTTTACAGCAGGACCGCATAAATAGCAAAACAGTAAAAAAAGTTTTATTTAAATTATGTATATTTTATTTTATTTCCTACTTCCTATTATTCCCCACAGCATCCTCGCAAGCAATCGAGTTCTAAAAGGATGATAGAAAGCTGTGTCAGAAACTCGCAACAAACTTCTCAATGCAATTGGACTACCGAAAATCCGGAGTCGAATACCGAATCTAGACATGATTGTCCATACTGCGCCAGCTTGACTCGTAGAGCATCTTCCTCCAGTCGCTTTAATTCTCCTCCGATTCAATCTGTCGAAGATTATTTTATACAGAAGCCCAATAAGCTCCGTTTAACTTCCAGCTCTTCGATCTCCAAATCGGGAGGCTTGAATCCGGTTGTAGTTCGATTGCGAAACGGCCAGGAGCTCAGGGAATCTGTTCGCGCCCAGATTGAAGTGCAGAATGCCATCGATGAATTCCAGAGTGTTTTGGAATTGAAACGGAAAATGCTAAAGAAATCGTCACCCTGTGAGCGAGCCGTGATTAAATGTAGAGATTGCGAGCGAGAGAAAATGAAAGTTGTAGATGAAAGGCAAAGCGAGGAAGAATCAAAGAAATCGCCTACAAAACCTGAGAAACAGCGTTCAAGAAGTCTGTCTCCAGATACCATCCCAAATGTGGACATGCATATTAGTGCTGATGAAATGGTCCAAGGCAAGGTTTTTAATCCGATAATTCGCAGTTTCCAAGAGATGTATCTGAAAACTAAGACGGAGGAAATTGCGATTATGGAGAGTCTGATTAGGATGCCAGCATTGATCAGTAAAATCTACAGACAAGCGGCGCTTGCAAGAAAGTAGTGGAGTTCTTTTTTATATTTTTACACTTTAACATTTGGGTTTTTTATATTTTGTAAAATAAAAAATTGGGGTAACAGGGTGGGAAACATAAAAACTTGCTTACTTTTTTTTTTTAATTCCCCAGGGTGTCAAACAAACACCGTTACATTACATGTAGAAGCAGTGTATGTAACAAATATGCATCCGCAGCAATAGAGAACGTATGTATACATACGTGTAGAAAAAATAAGTGTAATGGAGGGAGAAAGAGCAAAAGAGCGAAGCTCACTTTTCGGGGATCTTGCGTGCGGATCGGTTGTGTATTTAAGTTAGTTTATTGGAGATCGCGTCGGTGAGCATATTAAGGTAAGTCAACTGCTAAGTGATAAGTTGTCAATTGTTAAGCGGTAAGCGGTGCTGAAAGGTAATACAAATGATAAAGAAGTATAAGTTATGCAAATATGTGGAGCTCTTTTTGCATTTTCTTTTGATTTTCATTCTGCGACTTGCGACGATGCGTTGCGAATGAAGTTAAAAGGAGAAACGAAAATTCTAAAGGACGGCTAAATGTGTGAGTGCAGTAAAAGAGAACATATATGTATACGTGTAGAAAAACTAAGCGAAATGAGAGGAGAAAGAGCAAAAGAGCGAAGCTTACTTTTCGGGGATCTTGCTTGCGATCGGTCGTGTATTTAAGTTAGTTAATTGGAGATCGCGTCGGTGAGCATATTAAGGCAAGCCAATTGCTAAGTGATAAGTTGCCAATTGTTAAGCGGTGTTTAAAGGTAATACAAATATTAAAGTGTAAGTTATGCAAATATGTGGAGGTCTTTTTGCATTTTCTTTTGATTTTCATTCTGCGACTTGCGACGATGCGTTGTGAATTAAGTTAAAAGGAGAAAGCCAAATTCTGAAGGACGGCTGAATGACAAAGTTCAAGGTGTGTGAGATCAAAGTCAAAATTGGTGGGTTATTAACGATAACGGTTAATTTTTCGTTCCCTTTAATAATAGTTTGTGAAGACAGTGCGAATAGAACATAAGCTCGTAATTTTTGAAGTGCTTAAGAACATTTGAAAAATCAAAAATTTGCGCCAGTGAAGCTCTCTCTCAAGCCGTTAAAGCCGGCTTTCCCTTTGCAGCGAGCGACAAGCTTTGCCGGAAAATGGTTTGGAAAAGCTCGAAGCTTGAGACTACCCAACAGACGAATTTGCAGCGCAGCGAATTCGCTAGAATGAATAGGAAAATGAACTTTTCCGGGGTTCAGAGGGGTTTGTGGAAAAGTGCCCGTGCCTGTGTGAGTGCGAATCTGTGTTGTTTTCCTTTTTTCTTTACGTTTTTTTGCTTTGCCCTAGCATCTCTGCCTCGTTTTCGGAGGACGACGAAACGCCAACAAGTAGCAGTTCAGCATTCGACGCGTTCGCTTGCCAGCGGACACAGGCCACAAATAGCGGGTCAACAGTGAAACGATTGAGTTTTGAAATCGCCCGAGTAACGGTTCTGGAAACTTTCGAGTTTTTTGTTCTTGTTTAAAAGTGAAAAGGAGTGATAAGAAACTTTAAACAGAAAGGAAATACATGCGAACTTTACTTCTTGTTTAAACTAGCAAATCAAAACTGCCAAAAAGTGAGTAACAAAAATGAAAACTCCTAAAATGCATAATATTTGAAACACTGATTTCAAATTACTGAATTATTATTACGTAGACCTAGAGAAATAATGTTTTTATTGGTAACTTAAAATTACGTATACGACGTGGGAAAGGGGTTGAAAAATAAACTCCTATTTAAATTTACTTCTTTCGAAAAATTTAAAAACTTTACTGAAAATAGTTTTATATTTACCATTAACCTATCTTTGTTACATATTATATACAAGAAATTTGGTCCAAAAAATTGAGTTTGGGTATTGCAATTTTTTCCAAAACATCAATATCAGCATTGCCTTGTCATTTGTAAAATTTTAAACTAGGGAAAAGCACAAACCAATACCAACAACAAATAATGCCTGCGTACTTTATTTTGAATGCACTTTGAGGTTGTCACATAAACCGAACAAACAGGGGTATATACAAATATATATAAATTTATGTGCGGAGGCGTGGATCGTTCCCTTCTTAACTCTTTCCTTGCACTTTGAAAAATAATTTATTGAATTTGTGAAACCAATGTTTAATTCTTGAAGGTACACTTTAATAAGGAATTTACCAAGTTTAAAATTTGTATGGTATGGATTTATTTTCCATATACTATATTATATAAAATCATGCCCCATTTTTGTTTAATTATTCAAAAATAGTTTATCACTATTAAAAAAAAATTGTTATATCAACTTTTCATCCAACTTTTATCCACCTTTTCTTTTTGTATAAATAACTTAATCGAGATGTTGTTTTGGGAAATACATAGTTGTAAACTATGTTATTTTAAACCTAGGACATATTTTATTAAAGTGTGGCACCCTTGAGTGCTTGTCGCGACCACTCATCATCTGTCATTGATTTGTTTTCTGTTCCATTTGCCTTCTTGCTTTCTTTGCCCCCCGCTTGTAAACTAATTAGAGAAGGGTCCAAGGATACTAGAGCATCCTTCAAAATGATTTGCAGCTCTTTCGCTTATTGTGTTTGATTTTATGTTCTTCTGGCTGCCCTCAAAATTTATATCGGTCGCCCGCGAAAAATTGGGAGGCGTTCTTTAAGCGGAAAATGGGGATAGTGTTTGGGGCGGATGGACTTTATTGACAATGGTGCATTCTGCATTCTGCGCGCACTAGAATGCCAAGAGTCGAGCGTCAAGAGCCATAAATTTGACGCCGCCAAGTCCTTTTGGCATCCATGGCAAACAAAATGCGTCGCTGGTCGCTCAGAAGGGCGGGGAAAATTGTCCAGGAGGTGGGGGGGAAAATTGGAGGGGCGAGGGTGCCGAGCTGGTGCGGTCATTTGAGTGCCAACAAGAGAAATATACAGCAAACAGAAGTAATAATATTATTTTCACTATTAATCTTGTGCTATTATTTGTCTTCACTTCAAAGGGTTTTAAAGCTTTTCGTTGGGGTATTTTTTTAAAACCGACAAGTTTTTCGCGCCACTAACAATTTCCTGATTTAAAATGAATAAATTATTTAAAAATCCTTTTCCAAAAACTACTCAAAATCATTTTAAACATAATTTTGTTTCTCCCATTTACTAAATTTGTTTGGCTCCAAATCAATTGAATTCCCAAAGCCGACGGAGCCCGCAAGTCGACCGCAGTTTCTAATTGGTTAAACCAAATTTCCTTTGACCTTCGTTCAGAATCGGGAAACCAAGAGGAGGGTTATATTTAAATTATGTGCATGTATTTCACTTTCGTTTTCACTTACGACTGTTCGGTCGTTTTCTTCTTTGATTTAGATTCTTGTTCAGCCGGATTGCTCTTTATGGCCCGAGCATTTGGCAGCATTGCGGTCAAAACTCTGGCTTTCGATGGGGCTGTTGTTTCGTGCTTGACAAACATTTTCATTTTCGTTTGCGATTTCTTATTGCTCTTGTTTTGGCAACTGCACTCAATTTTATAGCCCCTCGCTTTTATTTAGCTGGCTATTTTTCTGTTTCGGGATAGGGAAACTTTCAACGGGCCTCCCTGGGAATTTCCCCCGCTCAAAAAACTCACAGCTCCATGTTATAATTTCATTTGCTGGCCTCTGGTTACATTTACATTTTTATTTCCTCCCGGATGCCTACAACACAGGCCCGAAAAAATTGTTTTCTTTTTGTTTTATGACTTTTGGCATAATGTTTTGGTCTGATTTAAATGAAGTAATAGAAGTGGCTCGAACTCGGGGTCACATTTCAATTCCCTGCGAGCGTCGTGACACTTATACAAATTGCATTTATCATCTCGAGTTTCTCTGCTCCGTTTTTGTCCAACCAACTTTGGTAACTCCAAAAGAAAACTAAGCAAAAATCTACAAGGCAAGTGAAAAGCCGTAAACACATAGTCAGCAAACTGAAGTCAAGAGGATTTGGCCTCAGTCCTCTCTCTTCTGCCGTGTGTTTTATGAGGGTTTATCCAGACTTTTCTTAAGTCTAGCACCAACCGAAAAATTCAAGAAAAACCAATCCAGTGCACAGCTATGTTTAAAGTGATAGTAATATTGAAAACAAAAATAAAATAATAACAACCGAAATGTTTAAATTGCCTACAGTAAATATTTTTCATATTTTTTTTAACTGTTAATTTTTTTTTTTAACATAGCATTAATTATTGATTCTATTTATAGAATCGATCCACTATAGTTGTGAACACCACTGTGGTTTTCCCGCAATGAAATCTAGAAACATGGTCATGAAATCGTAAACATTTGGCTCTGATTTTCCCACTTTTTGGGCCTCAATTTTTATGTGTTACTTTTCTTTATAGGCTGTTGCTACAGATGTTGCTAAGGGGCTAGAAAAAATGTATGGAGCTTTGGGAATAGTCCGAATCAAGTGTGGGATTGGTGGGAATGAACTGTTTACGAGTGTAGCATATTCTAGTTTTCGCACTGTGCTAAGGAAAAAAGATTTAAAATTAAAATTTTTTTTTAAATTGTATACCAATTTCTCGTATCGATTACTAATCATTGTATAATGTTTTTTTCTTAAACTTTTCAACTACCAAGTCTGTCTTCAGTATTTTTTTTTTATCAAAGATTGGTAAATTGTTTTTTTTTTGCTGATTATATCTGATTGTTGCTGCTCTTCTGCTTCTTGAACATTTCCCCAAAGCCCCCACGTCAGAATAAGGAGGCGTGGCAAAAGGGGGCTGTGGGTTGTGGGCTGCTGATGTTTCGCATGTCATTGTCGTAAGTTGGCATATGTCACCAAGGTGTTATGCTCACATATATACATATGTATATACATATATACATACGTATATTTTGTGCCGCTTTGTATTTTCTAAAACAACGAAAAATTGCGAAAAGAAAAAGAATACCGGGTACACATACATTGAAAGTGTGCGAGGCATTAAGGTTTATGTGTGCGAAAAGCCAACTCGGAACATTTGTGTATTTACACATTGTACTTCCAAGAGGTATATTCAATTTTTGGAAGTCTTTATTTCATTTAATTGATATTTAAAACTTTTTCGAAATA